CGCACGGCTATTTGTATTCCTCATTCACATCTGGTAAAGCAATGTGTTATTTCATTAGATTTGTGTAACCCTCACACAGACACACACCCCAATAACGCATCGATGGTATTGCTCACTCAAACGTCTCACTGCCCTGTCCAGAGTGCGCAGCGAGTGCCGTGAGAGGTCGCGCCACATGTGCAGAAGTTTTGGCTCCAGAGTTTCTTTGTGAAATCTGGACCGCAAACGCTCTCTGAAGTGTACAGCGCCTCAATGCGTCCAAGACGCTGCAGACGCTTCATTCATGAGAGCCACCGCTGCATAATATATATGAATTCATTCATTCATTCAATCAATCTATATTTATTCACTTCTACAATTCAAGAAGGATTTTTCTAATGTATCAAAACATTTTGGCAAATTGCGTAAATGGAATATACACCCAAAATGTACACCTTTTTCAACGCAAGTTTCATAAATGAGCTTGTGTGTATGTGCGCGCGTGAGTGCGTGTGCGTGCGTGTGTGCGTTTGAACCATATTCTTTGAAACCCCAATTCCAGTTAGCCCTTGTAGTTTGCAAGCGAATTTGGCCTACTTACTAATCTGCAGGCCTACCCAAAATTGCAAACCTGGCGCCGATACTGTTGCGAGGATGAACGGAGGGAGATATGTTTCCAAAAAGAAAAGGTGGTGGAGCTAATTTTACTTTTCTTATCTGCAACACGTTCTTATTCTGAGGTGGTAGGTTGTAAAAATGTAGTTGGCTACTACAATGCGAGATCTACAAGGCTTATAATATAAAGTATTCAGTAGCCCTAGACTAGTTATGAGCGAAAGCCGCTTGTTGCTCCATTATCCGCGTGCAGCAATAACATGTCTATGAGCGAGGCCCGCAGTCGGGGAACACCGGGCCCTCCGGCGTTTGGAAGGTCCGATGTTCCCCGGGGAACACCGGACCCGGGGAACACCGGACCCGGGGAACACCGGACCCGGGGAACACCGGACCCGGGGAACACCGGACCCGGGGAACATCGGGCCGACCCCGAAGAAGAATTAGCCAATGCTAACATATAGCATTGGCAGACCTCTCAAAAACGTCTTTACAGGATGGACCAAAAGTTGGCTCTTGGCCCAAAGCTCTGTTCCACATGTGTGTCAATGCTGAGGGGAGTGTTCTGGACCACTCTAGTTTACTTGCTGTGAATTTTTGAAGTCTCTCGTTCAAATGAATGGAGCTGCACCGGCTGACGCATGCGCAGATGCGTTTTTTCACAATTTTCTTGTGGGCGGGACCACTCGCGGCCATTTTGGATAGTCCCAGTAGAGCAAATTTTTTGGCCCATTAGTTAGAACGGCGGAGATAGGCGTGACTCTGTCCGTTAATATATACAGTCTATGACTCAAACGCAGGAATGCAAAAATAATGATTTAATAAAATAAAGTCCAAGGTGGAAACAAATCTCAAAAATCCAAAGGAACAGGACAGAACTTGACAAGACAATACAATGGACCAGCAACAAGGGGAGAGAAGCACAGGGTACATAGAGGCACAGAGACACAGGTGAAACATCAGGGCGGGGCAGACAATCAAGACTGGGGAAACAGGACAGGAAGTCAGACTAAAACCAAATCAACTAAGAGCTGATATCAAAATAAAATCGAAGTACAAAAGGACACAAAATCCACACGTGACATACAGTCTGTGTAAGCATTGTCCATCTGTGAACAGTCTATGTTAGCATTGTTCTTCTGTATACAGTCTGTGTTCGCATTGTCCATTTGTATACAGTCTGTGTAAAACCTTCTTTAAATAACCTGAAAGACTTTTGTAATAATACCCAAAAGCCAGAAGTTGAATCCCTGAACCGCGGAGCTAGCATGTGCGTCGATAGCTTTGATAGGATTAGCTCTTCTTTTCTTAATCTGCTCAGACACAAACAAAGAACACCTGTTACAAGAACAACATGAAGTACACAATATTATTCACCACGTTATATCTGTTGCATGCGGTGTGGACCCTTTAAAGCAGGATCCTCCCGCTGTGAGGCCTGACCCAGTGCCCCCCTCGCCACCCTGCCTTAGCTGCCCCTGCCCCAGACACCACTTTCCTAAATCCATTCACAAAAGGGTTTCAAGTACAGGACATTCTTCAGGGATCACACCGAGCTGGGATTAGTCTCAACCTCTTTCTATTTTAAAAATCTTCAGATATTTGTCCATTTTTGAACGTCATCTGTGTGAGAAGAAGAAGAATAAACTATAATGAAGGCGAATTAGTCACTTATTTCATCAATTAATAATCATAGAAATACATCAAACTTATGTAACGATATGTGGACACTCAAAGACACTTTACAAAACATACAAAAAATAAACATAGAAGAACAAAGAGAGTGAGGGCGGCAAAGGCGAAGAGTGGTTTAGAGTCGTAAATCTGCGTTGCTGAGCACTTCTCCCCCGCCAAGATAATCCACCGTATACGTCACAGAGGTGAGAGAGACTGCAATACACGATACACCGGCGGCGCTTGTGCAAATGATATGAAATAAATAATATGAAAATAATATGTACAATTCATTAAACATGTGAAGACGAGTCCAGCAGGTCTCAATCTGCTATTATTTAGAGCCAGGAAGTACCATCGCATTAGTCCTGACAAGAACCAGGAAGTACCATCGCATTAGTCCTGACTAGAACCAGGAAGTACCATCCCATTAGTCCTGATTAGAACCAGGAAGTACCTGTGGCTGCTGGATTCGTCCCGGAAACCGGATTCGTCCTGAAGTTCAGTTTGCGCATGTCAAAAAGTGTAAATAAACATGTAAACAGTTTGTGTTGTTACATACAGATTATATTATTGATTTGTGCATATATGTATCAAGGTTCAATACGAGAAATGGCGGAAAAAGAGCTCCGAGAAAAAAATACTTTTAGTAGCCACGAAGCTAGCGCCCAGATGTGTTCAATGGCACACGGAAATGAGGCTAGCACATAGACAGTTTAATTCTTGATTAGATTCACTGTCCTTTACTCGCCGGACGAATCTGGCAGCCACAGTCCTGACTAGAACCAGGAAGTACCATCGCATTAGTCCTGACTAGAACCAGGAAGTACCATCGTCATTAGTCCTGGTCTCAGGTCTCTGCACCTGTGTTTGTTACATCAGGGGTCTCCAACCTTTTTCAACCAGAGAGCTACTCCTTTTTTGCAGTCGTAATATAAAAAACCTTGTAATAATTACAACAAAACAAAGAGAACACATAAATATACCATAATACTGTAAAACACTTTACTCATATTTATAATAGATGTGTAATGACTCAAAAGTGCATCATTCAAGATCATTTGTTAAAATCTAAATCCTTTGGGGAGCTACCTAAAAGGGGCTGGCGAGCTACTGGTAGCTCCCGAGCAACACATTGGGGACCACTGCACTACATGGTCTCGCACCATACAAGTACATCCATGACATGTCAGAGCCACAGGGACTGGCCTCCTGCTGGGACTCGGAGAAGCACAGGGACTGGCCTCCTGCTGGGACTCGGAGAAGCACAGGGACTGGCCTCCTGCTGGTCTCAGAGTCAGGACTAAACATGGGGAGGCAGCGTTTCATATTCATGCAGCTAAACTTGGGAAGTCTTCCTGAAAAAGTGAGACAGACTTCTTCTCTGACAATATTTAATGTTTCCAGTTTAAAAACACTCATTTATTTTATCTTTTCAATGTACTGTGAGTATTTATGATTTTCACGCCTTGTGTGAATGTCTATCTTTGAGATGTGTATGAACGGTGCTACATGAATAAACTTCCCCTGGAAGATTTCAAGCTAACAAATCTTTAGCTAGTAGTAGTGGTAACTAAGGAGTAGAAAGTAGAAACCTGATGTAAATTTTTCCTCCCAACACAATCGGACCCCTTTGCCACCAGAGACCGTCACCAATGTGTGGAAATGCAAAGACGACAGAGTCTGCGTTTTCATTTTCCTTTTTATTCGAGGTGCGACCGTCTAGTGCAATTGTAACGTCACATTAGTGATGGGCTCGGGACATGCACAACACAAAGCACATACATCCGGCATCATCCTCTCCACGCTTAACATCATCGAGTTTAGCTGCCACACCGGCAACGCATGTGAGTACAAAATAAAAACACCAACAAAAAACAGCAAAAAAAAAGAAAAGAATTAAAAACAGTCCGGATTTTTGTATGAAACTGTAAAAGGCCGTGTTGTCACCGCGGGAGAGTTTTATCGAGGGAAAAACGTCCTCTTTGCTCCCACCCTGAGTAATGACATCACAGGTAGTTTATAACCTGGTAAACCATAGATAAATATATATACCCCCACGCACATGTACAGGACTAAAAAAAACTATATATGTATCTATGGTTACGGACCAGGCACTTGGCAGAGTTGAAGGGGACAAATATAAACAGTCCTTTCCTATATCCCTCCTAACGTTTATTTAGACACATTAAAACAGAATAAACCCAACAATAACATGTCTGAAACCGTTCCCGGAATTTTTAAAAACCGGAAAAAACGTCCATGAATTTCTGCGAAGAGTGGGGGTAGGTGTGCATCACTGGGGGGTCAGACCGATACAAGAGTGGAGAGAGAGTTCCCGATGGTTCATAGCGTCTTTGAGAGAAGTGCTCATGTTTTGGGGAATGGGGGCGGGAGATGAAAAAAAAAAAAAAAAAAGTGCATAAAAACCAGCGTCGGACAAAAATGCCCGCTGTGTAAACGCGATGGGGGAGTGTGGGAGGAGCAGAGCGGCAGCAGCGAGTGGACCTCCTCCCCCATCCTCCCCCCCTTCCCCAGCAGGCGGCTGGGACCTCACTTTTCTCACACACACACGCACACATACACACACATAGTCCACAATGCTCTGTCCGTCCCGTCCTCCTGGAGATTGTCTGGAATAGAAAACGGCCACTAAAAAAATAATAAGAAAATGCCAAAAAAAAAGTTCCTCAAAATGTCAGTAGGGCGGCGGCGGAGAGGAAAAGTAGGTCCGGTCAGCGTTGGCGTCGGGATCTCTTCACAGTACGGCTATTCTTCGGCTCTCGGATCCAGCACTGCAAAAAGAAGGAAACAAATAAGTATCAATGGATACTCAGTCCTGGGTCTACAGTCTCAGTCCTGAGAGACCCCTGAGATATATATGTATCTACCCTAGAGAGAGACCCCTGAGACTCTTGAGAGACCCTAGAGAGAGACCCCTGAGAGAGACCTCTGAGAGACCCTCACCTGGCGAAAGTGATCCACGTCACGCCGACATGCTCGAGTTCTGTGATGGCGGCAGTGCGGCCTGGGTCCCGGCTGAGCCCACGGCGGGTTGCCCGGGGCCGCTGGGGGAGCCACTCTGCACCTGGGCCTGGAACTGGGCCATCTGCTCGGGGCTGGCCAGGGTCTTCAGCAGCGTGTTCTCCTGCTCCAGCAGAGAGTTGCGCTCGATCAGCTCTTTGATCTGCTCCTTCAGCACCTCCACCTCCTCTCGCACCGCGTACATCAGGTGGCTCTTCACCAGGTCCTGGGGGCGGAGCCAAAAACAACACATGAAAACTCGCACTAATAAAACTCATCGTACTAATATTGCACTAATAAAACTCATCGCACTAATATGGCACTACTATGTCACTAATATCGCACTACTATACCACTACTATCGCACTACAATCACACTACTATGGCACTAAGATTCTATTCAGTGTGTTCTTGTATCGCCCTAAATCCCAACAGCAGTTATCTCTGAGGACTTTACACAACTGAGGAATTCTCCAAAACACAATATATTGGTCCATAAGAGGCGGATGATAAAAGGTCTTTAAATGTGTAAGTGTCGGAGATCATCAGTCCTTTTGGTCGGATCACGACTCTAACTGACCCTCCTGCATCGGCAAAGAACAACTCACACAAAACGTCACACAAACGCAGTGGCAGAAGAGGCAGATGAAAATAAGCTAATACGGCATTAGTTTTATTCCGCACACAAACGCTGCACAAATGTCACACAAATATCACACAAGCGCTGCACGAACGTCACACAAACGGCAGCATCTTTGTCCTAAATCCTTGTGCTATCTTTGAATCAAACTAACCCCAGTGATTAAAATTTTGTGATGATTTTTCCTAACTTGACCAGCCCCGTGTTTATTTAGACTCATGGATCTATAATAACAACTGGATAGTGTAATACTAGCTTATAGCCGTCCCACCCATGACCACAGGGGGTGCTGTGGTACTGCAGACTAAATTCACGTGGGGTACCCAAAAAAAATCCCCATAGAACTCAATATAAACTAGAACAGCTCGACCTCAGCTGACAGAGAACCTACAGCTTCAATAAAGATCGGATTTTGTGGTGATTTTAGTGTCCCTTGTCATCCTGAACTTTTTTCTTAAATCCTTCAGTTTTCATTAAATCCACACTTTACTGCCACAAACTCTGCCGTTTCCTTCCTGCTCTGATTGGTAAGAACGCTGCCCTTTGATTGGTCAGAGCGCGCCCGAGCCCTTCTGTGCACGTGCATGAGAGCCACACACGCATATTTGGCGCAAAGCATCATGGGGGCTTGTCCACTGTGCAGAACATGGAGGACCAGACGATGCCCAAATATGGTCAAGTTCTGCTAATCTCTCGGTCTTCCTGTATGTCCTCTGCACTACTGAGCACAGGCATGGATCTATTATAATAACTGGATAGGGTATTACTAGCTTGGAGCTGAATAACCCATGTGCTCAGGGGATTCTCGCGGTACTGCAGACTAGACCAGACTAAATTCACGTGGGCTACCCAGAAATTTTCCCCATAGAACTCAATGTAAATTAAAAAAGCGCGACCTCAGCTGACAGAGAATTTACAGCTTTCATAAAGGTCGGATTTTGTGGGGATTTTAGGGTCCCTTGTCCTCCTGAACTTTTTTTCTTCTTAAATTTTTGGTTTTCTTTCAATCCACACTTTAGTGCCACAAACTCTGCTCGTCTGGCTCTCGCTCCAACTCTTGCTCTGATGAACTACACTGATTGTTCAGAGCGCAGCCGAGCCCATCTGTGCAAGTGCGTGAGACCCACACACGCGTGTTTAGCGCAACGCATTATGGGAGATCATCCACTGCGCAGAACCGGGAGGACAAGACAATGCCCAAATACAGGCGAGTTTAGAACCAAACTTTGGGTATTTTGCTTCATCTTTAAGTCCTCTGTAAGGGGTCTAGCACAAGTGATATATTATTTATTATACGTGGACTGACAGAGTGATTCTGGTAGTGCCTCTTTCAGGTGAAAGCCAGATCCCGTCAGAGCTCTGAAACTAAGCAGGGCTTACTGTGATGGGAGACCTCTGGGAACACCAGGTGCCACAGTGGGCCGGTTACAGCTGGAAATTGCCAAAACTGTGGTTGTGTCCTTAGGCAAGACACTTCCCCCATATTAGAATGAGTCTGGTGTGTGTGTGTGTGGAGGCACTGATGGCGCAGACTGGTTGCCTCGCTTCTGTCAGTGTGCCCCTGGGCAGCTATGGCTACATGAGTTATCTATCAGGCGGGAGGCACGGTGGCTGAGTGCATAGCACTCTTGCCTCTAAGCCAGAAGGTCCTGGGTTCGAATCCTTGTCGGACCAGGGCCTTTCTGAGTAGAGTTTGCATGCTCTCCCTGTGTCTGCGTAGGTTTCCTCCGGGTACTCCGGTTTCCCCTACAACTAAAAACATGTCCAATAGTTCTGGCATGCGCCTCCTGTACTGGCGACCCCGCTCCCATCTCTGTGTGGAGTGAGAGGACAAATGCCCCAAAAAAACCAATTGTAAACCGCTTTGTGACTCTGGTCTGTGAAAGGCGGTATATAAATAACATTACTTACTTACTTATCACCACTGTTTAAAACGACATATGACAAAGGAGGGAACGACCTCCGTCCCAATGAGACTCCACAGGGATGACGCAAAACCACCGCTTCGTCCAGCCCCTTTTCAAACTGTGTCTATGGTCTGTCTCCTGCTAATGGTTTTGTCTGCCGGTGTACATACAATGGTACATACGATGATACATAGGTCTGAAGGGAAGCAATTCTACTTTCATTTTCAGTTTCTTTTATATCTCACATTTGTTTTAGCGCTGTATCATACCACCATCATCTGCCACTCTCCACTCGGGACATCCCTGGTCCTGAAAGCATCCTCGAGCGGACCTCTCTCTCCCCCCCTCCTCCCCCTGTACCAGCAGCAGCAGCAGCACCGAGGACAAAATGTTCAGCGGCGGGCGGTGGGAGGAGCCAATCACTGCACAAGTTATTTATACAGAGCAGCAAGGAGGCTGGAGCTCGCCTAGCAACACAGGGAGGGGAGGGGGGGCTATAGCGTGCGAACATGGACATGACATACATAAAACGACACAACCCGCCACTGCCAGGAGTCTGAGGGACCTGACAGTACCACAACAGAGATGCCACATTTCAAATATCAGCCATGTTAATTATTGCAAAAAAATTAAAATAATAATGGTCTATTTTGCAACATGAGACGCGTCCATGTCTGTCCGCTTGTCTACCATTCATTCATTCATTCATTGCGTTATAACAGCGCTTTCTTGCGTCCTACAAACTCCCCTTGGCGTGTGTATGACAGCGTAAATATTCACTGTAGAATAAAGCCTGGTTTGATGTGCGTGTGTGGTGCGTGCGTGTGCGTGCGTGCGTGCGGATGAGCCTGGCGCAGTCTCGGTTACATAACAGCACATGCACGACCACGGACCAGTCTCCAGTTTACAAACACCATAAGAAGAAGAAGAGGAAGTCCCTACTCACCATGGCTTGTTCAATCTTGTTGTCTATTGCCACCACACTCGTTCCCGAAGAACTGCAAAAACACAAAAACAAAGAAGGGACGATGTCAAGAGGGACACGGGGAAAGCGAAACCAAACTCGTAATGTCCCCTATGTGAAAACACGGGCCCCGGACAGACGGGACTGACGCGGGTACGCATGATGCACTCCCGGTGTACGGAAACGGGAGCGGTAAAGACACACGTACAAGTAAGGCCTACCTATCGAGACGTACGGACGCGCTCTCCCTCCCCAGCACAGAGGACAGAAACGATATGGACAGATTCCGCAGGTGACAAACGCCAAGGTCCATCGCCACAGAGTAGCAGTGTGTGTTCATGCCTCTCCGAGCCCATGCAGATCCATGAGCCCAGTGCGGGAGCCCTGCGAGCGGCCAGGGGGGCAGAGGACAGAGGCGCAGACCATAGTGCAGCTCCCGGGACAGAGGCGCTGAGCAGGACAAGCACAAAGAGCGAGAGAAAGAGAGAGAGAGAGAGAGAGAGACGGGATCTGCGTGTGCTGTGTGTGCTGGCGCAGACGGGAGAGCGCTGATTGGCTCACAGCGCTGTCTGTCTTCGCGAGGCCTACACTGATTGGTTGTGATTCTCAGCGTGTATGCAGCATCCTTGGGGCTGGGACGCGAGAGGACACCGCGTTGAGGACAGGGCACAGGCTGTACTCATTCATTTCAACAAACAAAATAATATTAATAATAATAATAACAATAATAATCATAAAATAATTAAGATTAAGAGAAAGGAAATTCATTAATATATTCATAATAATAATGTTTATGTTAAAACATACAGTCTATGGGCAAAACAGGGTTATACCTATTTTATCCATCATTTATAAACACTAGTATTTTGTCCCAAGAGAAAGATCCTAACCCTATCTGCTATCTTCATCTTATTAGTTAACATGTTGATATTTGTAGTTTGTAAGAAAGAGCCCTGTGAGTCTCTATTTGACCATCCGGGGCGAGAGCTGATTGGCTGAGGGAGGGTGGCCCTCTCTTTCTGTCTGAAAAATCTGATCTAAAAGACGCGACAGAACCAATGAATACAGTCATGTGGAAACTAATGATACAATCAGCTGTTTAACTCAGTGACTGCCATTGACGTATTTGTCTGAGACTTGTGATTTCTGTCAAACATCCCTCTATTCGACTGGGGATTAGAGAAAAACAAAACTAGCTAAAAACAAACTTATTTCTTCTGATGAAAGTAGAAAAAACAGTTATTTAGAATCTGGTTTCATATCTCACATAGTCTTAGCACATAATATTCTGTGGGTGTTGAGAATCAGTAAAATATTCAAAAACGGCTGGCAGTCAATGAGTTAACAAGGAAAAGCCGTGGATTGTGTTACAGATTTATCGGTGTGGTCTGAAAGTTACGGACCCCAGCTTTAATGCAGATTAGAAAAATGTATTTACAGAATTTAGACATGCCTGGACTAAAGCTCGTGGCTGCCCATCCTGATCCTGGCCCATAAGCGCATCGTTAGGTAGTTCAGAGCTGGGCTAGTGTCGCCCTCTTCTGGGCACTTCAAGCAACAGCAGACAAGAACTAAAGGCCTGATGAAGCCCTGGTCCTGATTTTAGTTTGGGAAAACACTCCAACTGAGATGCGCCGTGCTGAGTCGAGACGCTATGGCCTAAGGGCTTAAGTAAAAAATGACTCTTTACAGAAAATCAATTAGATTTGTAAATAGTAAAATCCAAATCCATGTCACTTACATTTTTGTGATCACAGTTTTCATCATCATACAATAAAGTAAAAAAAAAAATTCAACAAGGGGCCAATAAAGAAAAAATATGAAGTTTATTAAGGTGGCATGTATTTGGTGCTTTTTATTTTCACAACTTTGAATAATTAAGTGTGGAGGAAATATGTACTAAAACAATAATATGATGGTGCGAAGTATTGTGTGTGTACGTGGCTGTTTGTCAATACGTGTCTGTATGTCTGCGTGTGTCTGTATGTATGTGCGTGTATGTGTGTCTGTGTAGCGTGTAGAAGATCTATAGGAGAAGGGCTTGGTCCCCACAGATCTGACAGGGGAAACACTTCTCACTGGAGGTCGGACCACTCCCCGAACTCTGCCCACACGCCGTAAATGGTTTGATGAACTTTTAAGGCGTTTTATACAAAGTAATGTTTTTATTTGTTATATGAAAGTGGAAAAATAATGAAAATGAAATTATTTGTTTTAAACCTGTTCAACCTTTCCCTGAAGAATATTGAATATGCCCCAAAATTTTGTTTTGTGATGTAATTATGGAGCTGTGCGTGTGTGTGTGTGTAGTGTGTATGTCTACGTTTGTGTCTGTATGTCTATATATGTGTGTATGTCTGTCTGTGTGTGTAGTGTGTGTTGTGTGTGACAATGGGATGTGAGTTTGATCCACTTTGTCACAGAAACACTTCTGACACGTCCTCACTTCGGTGTCCGTGTCACAAGAGACAGAATTATTATTGAAAGTTTGTGAAGAATCCAGTCTAGATTTGAAGGCGATTGATTTGGTTTCATCTACAGTAACGCCTGCTGCATGCACACACACACACACGTACACAAACGCACACAAGGAGAACACCGTGTCCTCACACAGCTCCAGCCTCCAGCACAATGAAGCCGTCTGCATTTACACGGTCTTCACAAAAACTAAATGAGAGAAAGCTATGTGTTTGTTTATTAGTCTTTCATAGAATTGTTCTGTTGTTTTTGGGGTAGGTATAGAATATATATGTGTGTGTGTGTGTCAGTGTGTGTTGTGAATCCTGAACTTTGGACTGTCAGTCTGTATCTAGTCGTAATAGTCGACAAGTTGGAAGTTAGTATGATGTGAGTGTGAGGTTTTATATTGGGAGTGGACCCAAGGAAGTGTCTTTGCTCCAGTGAAGTCCACGAGTGACAAACAGGTGACTCAAGACTCAGTCGTTAGACTTTGAAAGTGCTTCTTCAGGGTTTAAAGGGAAAAAAATGGCAGTTTAAAGTCATTTTTAAACACGCATCACCTTGATAAGTCCTAACGAGTCTAGTTCCATCACAACAAAAGCAGTCACATGCACACAGCAAAAAGACAAAAGCCTCGTAATGCCTTTCAGGACCCCCGCTGACCCAGAGCCCCAGTCCTCGGCCCCCCTCGCCCCCCTCAGACGGGGTTACCTCTTGAGGTGGTTCTCCAGCTCCCAGAAGAGCAGATGAACAGCCATGACGTCCCGGCTTTGCGAACGTCCTGCCGCGGCCACGCACGGCTCCCTCATGGAGGCTCCTGACCGCTCCAATACCCAATAAAAAAACCACGGAAAACACTTCCTGACCTGCCCTTTGGCCCCGAGCCCCTGTCCTGTCAACCAGGCAGCTTCACATGGGGGGACAGTGGGCGACCAGAGGGGGACAGGAGGGACCCCGTGCGCACAGGGTTGAGGTAGTATGTGTGCTGTAAAACGTTCCTGACTGAAGCTATAGGCAGGCGGGCGATCGCCGTGATGTCACCCCCCCCCTCCCTCTCCGCGCCCGTTATGTAAACCGCCAAGGCAGATTAGCCCGCGCGAGCCAATGGGATCATCCGCTTTCGACCACACACCCGCCACCAGATCACAGGCTCCTCCCCTTTCGCCCTGTCCTGTGGCGCCTATAGCACAGCACACAGCACCAAATGTGCTCCTGGACCTCTTACTAAAGCCAACGTCTACATCTCAGTAGTTCTGACTTACTCCATGGATTTACTCTAAGTCGCAGAAGAAATCTAAATTGCCTGCATCATCACAATCGCTCCAGAGTCACCCATGCGCTTTCACTGTTCAGCCAGGCCTCTGCGCTTGTGCTCCCCTCACGTGTACCACCACGCTGCACAAGATGGCCTCTGCACACACCCAAACACCAGGCACAAGACAGTCCAACCAAGCCTTAAAAAAGTCGCCATTTGAGATGCATTTTGTGATTGTTTATGACCAAAATGGCACGCAGACAGAAGGACGTGAGCTAGTTTGTTAGGAAATTATTAACCTCATTAGGCAGAGGTCGGATAGCCCATTCTTCTCCCACTATATGGTGTCATTAGCCTAAATTTAAGTCGAAAGAATTTGAGATGGCAAACTTTAAAACATGTGTTGTTGTCGCAGAAGGTCTGGGGGTCACAGCATGTCCTCGTTATGAATGTGTACATCGTGTTCCTTTAGGTTTGGGCGGTGATGCGCATGCCCAGGTCCCAGACAAAGGACTGTGGCACAGCGATGCGCGCTCGGCCAATCGTTGCCCGAGCTGCGGCGACGTCGGCCAATAGCGAGCTACGTTCTCAGAGCCAGCGCCGCACGTCGACTCGGTTGGGAAGGCGTATGTGTGACCATTACGTACACACCCAGGCTGGGATGTACAGTATGTGTGTGTGTGTTTGTGACCTATATATTACCTAACTTCTATGGTAAAGCCGGGAGGTTGTAATCCTCAAGACGGCTTAGCTTACATAAAACTCACTCTTAAGTCTGCGTTTGGGCCTCGTCAACAACTTAATAATGCTTTGGCTAACTTAGGACTTCTGAGTCTTAGGACTAGCCTGTGTCTTAGGACTGCTGCTGTGTGTCTTAGGACCGACCTGTTTTAGGACCGACCTGCCTTAGGACTGGCCTGTCTTAGGACCTGAATCTTAATATGAGAAGATCCATATTTTGACCTGGTTTTGACATTTTTATCTTATACTTTGATAAATCTTGTCTTAAACGTAGTGATTCTGAAGCAGGGTCTAAAACAGTGATGATCTGGGACATTTCTGCACATTTCTTAACATTTCTGGACCGTGGTCATCCCGCTCCCTATACATTTGTTCAGTTTTGATTCCCTGATCTGTTGTTGAGAAACCCACACCTTTGCTACTGTTGTGATTTCGGGCTGTGCACAAATACATTAAATAAACTTAGAGAATGTCTGGGCCTCGAGTTACAGAAATCACTAAAGAATCTGGAATCTTCTGTCCTGTGACGTCACATAAAGCCTCTCCGATAACTCACCAATGAATCTCTATCTTTATAAAAACTTACTCTTCAGAAGGCGACACTAACGAAAGCCTGAGCAAATCCAAGTCATGAACCAGTCGCACATTATTTTTAAAAACACTTGACGGGAACATAGTTTTTGGGATAGGTCCTTGATCTGGGGAGTGGGAGGTTCAGTAAATACAGGAGGCTCTCATGTCTATACGACATGTCCTGGAGCTGTGTGTGTGTGTAGAGTTTCCCTGTGTGTGTAGTTTTTTCTTGTGTGTGTGTGCGATGTGTAGCATCCCTGTGTGTATATAGTCTGTGTCTGATTGTGTATGTGTAGCTTCCCTATGTGTGTGTGTGTGTGTGGTTTCCCTGTATGTGCGTGTGTATAGTTTCTGTGTGTGTGTGTGTGTATGTGTATAGTTTTCCTGTGTGTGTGTGTCTGTGCGTGTGTAGACTGCTGGAATCTGGTTTTTAGGATCTTTTCTCTCTGACATTTACAAGCCCAGACCAAAGCCAGGAGAAAGATTACACTGTTATTATGATCCAGGGCTTTGTACACAGTGTAGAGGCCTGTGGTATTTGACGTCCTCAAATACCACAGTACTTTAAAAGAACAAAGACAGATACATCATGGATTATCTAGAATATTTTGTTTGTTTTTTTCATTCTAAAAGACACAAAATTGTAAAAAAATAAAAATAAAAAATAAAAAATAAAAAGGAAAAAAACCTGATAATCAAACCACAGCCTAGTCTATGGTTAAGTCTGCAGCGACTTCTTCATGATTCAAGATTTAATTTCAGTATAGTCTTAATGTTCCTTTATCTTGTGCTGCTCCTTCCTACTGTTCAGTAACTGTTGATGCAACACTGAAGTTGCCCGATTATATGTTATTAAAAAAATGAAAAATAAACAGACGGAAATACATGTACAAATACATCAAAGAAAAAATTATTGTATAATGGCTAGAGAGAGAGAGACCAGAGAGTGGGACCAGAGAGAGAGAGGCCAGAGAGAGAGACCAGAGAGAGAGACCAGAGAGAGAACAGAGAGAGAGACCAGCGAGGGACCAGAGAGAGAGAACAGAGAAAAAGACCAGAGAGAGCGATCAAAGAGAGAGACCAGAGAGAGGGACCTGAGAGAGGGACCAGAGAGAGAAACCAGTGAGACTAGAGGGAGAGACTTGAGAGAGACCAGAGAGAGAGGCCAGAAAGAGAGACCAAAGAGAGAGGCCAGAGAGAGAGACCAGAGAGAGGGACCTGAGAGAGGGACCAGAGAGAGGGACCTGAGAGAGGGACCAGAGAGTGAGAACAGAGAAAAAGACCAGAGAGAGATAAATCAAAGAGAGAGACCAGAGAGAGGCCAGAGCGAGAAGCCAGAGAGAGAGGCCAGAGAGAGGGACCAGAGAGTGAGACCAGAGAGAGATAAATCACAGAGAGAGGCCAGAGAGAGGGACCAGAGAGAGAGACCAGAGAGACCTGAGGGAGAGACTAGAGAGAGGCCAGAGAGAGAGACCAGAGAGAGGCCAGAGAGAGAGAGACCAAAGAGAGAGGCCAGAGAGAGATCAAAGAGAGAGACCAGAGAGAGATCAAAGAGAGAGGGACCAGAGAGCGAGAACAGAGAGAGCGACCAGAGAGTGAGGCCAGAGAGAGAGATCAAAGAGAGAGACCAGAGAGACCAGGAGAGAAGCCAGAGAGAGAGGCCAGAGAGAGGGACCAGAGAGAGAGACCAGAGAGAGATAAATCAAAGAGAGAGGCCAGAGAGAGAGGCCAGAGAGAGATCAAAGAGAGAGGGACCAGAGAGTGAGAACAGAGAAAAAGACCAGAGAGAGATAAATCAAAGAGAGAGACCAGAGAGAGGCCAGAGCGAGAAGCCAGAGAGAGAGGCCAGAGAGAGGGACCAGAGAGTGAGACCAGAGAGAGATAAATCAAAGAGAGAGGCCAGAGAGAGGGACCAGAGAGAGAGACCAGAGAGACCTGAGGGAGAGACTAGAGAGAGATCAGAGAGACAGACCAGAGAGAGAGGCCAGAGACAGACACCAGAGAGAGACACCAGACAGAGAGAGAGACAAAAGAGAGACCAGAGAGAGAGATCAAAGAGAGACCAGAGAGACCTGAGGGAGAGACTAGAGAGAGATCAGAGAGACAGACCAGAGAGAGAGGCCAGAGAGTGAGGCCAGAGAGAGAGATCAAAGAGAGAGACCAGAGAAAAAGACCAGAGAGAGACCAGAGAGACCTGAGGGAGAGACTAGAGAGAGATCAGAGAGACAGACCAGAGAGAGAGACCAGAGAGAGAGGCCAGAGAGAGGAGCCAGAGAGCGAGATCAAAGAGAGAGACCAGAGAGAGAGGCCAGAGAGAGGGACCAGAGAGGATCAAAGAGAGAGACCAGAGAGAGGCCAGAGAGAGAGACCAGAGAGACAGACCAGAGAGAGGGACCTGAGAGAGGGACCAAAGAAAAAGACCAGAGAGAAACCAGTGAGACTTGAGGGAGAGACTAGAGAGAGACCAGAGTGAGAGGCCAGAGAGAGAGACCAAAGAGAGAGGCCAGAGAGAGAGAACAGAGAGAGACCAGAGAGAAACCAGAGAGACTTGAGACAAGAGAGAGACCAGAGAGAGAGACCAGAGAGAGAGACCAGAGAGAGGCCAGAGAGAGACCAGAGAGAGAGACCAGAGAGAGAGACCAGAGAGAGAGAACAGAGAGAGAGGCCAGAGAGAGGAGCCAGAGAGAGAGATCAAAGAGAGAGACCAGAGAGAGAGGCCAGAGAGAGGGACCAGAGAGATCAAAGAGAGAGACCAGAGAGAGAGGCCAGAGAGAGAGACCAGAGAGACAGACCAGAGAGAGGGACCTGAGAGAGGGACCAAAGAAAAAGACCAGAGAGAAACCAGTGAGACTTGAGGGAGAGACTAGAGAGAGGCCAGAGAGAGAGACCAGAGAGAGGCCAGAGAGAGAGACCAAAGAGAGAGGCCAGAGAGACAGAACAGAGAGCGAGAACAGAGAGAGACCAGAGAGAAACCAGAGAGATCTGAGGGAGAGACTAGAGAGAGATCAGAGAGAGACAGACCAGAGAGAGACACCAGACAGAGAGAGAGACAAAAGAGAGACCAGAGAGAGAGATCAAAGAGAGACCAGAGAGAAACCAGAGAGACCTGAGGGAGAGACTAGAGAGAGATCAGAGAGAGCGACCAGAGAGTGAGGCCAGAGAGAGAGATCAAAGAGAGAGACCAGAGAGACCTGAGGGAGAGACTAGAGAGCGACCAGAGAGAGAGGCCAGAGAGAGACACGAGACAGAGAGAGAGAGACAAGAGACCAGAGAGAGAGATCAGAGAGAGACCAGAGAGACGGACCAGAGAGAGAGACCAGAGAAAAAGACCAGAGAAAAAGACCAGAGAGAAACCAGTGAGACTTGAGGGAGAGACTAGAGAGAGATCAGAGAGAGCGACCAGAGAGAGACACCAGAGAGAGACACCAGACAGAGAGAGAGACAAAAGAGAGACCAGAGAGAGAGGCCAGAGAGAGAAACCAGAGAAAAAGACCAGAGAGAAACCAGTGAGACTTGAGGGAGAGACTAGAGAAAGATCAGAGAGAGAGGCCAGAGAGACACCAGAGAGAGACACCAGACAGAGAGACAAAAGAGAGAGCAGAGAGAGAGGCCAGAGAGAGAGACCAGAGAAAAAGACCAGAGAGAAACCAGTGAGACTTGAGGGAGAGACTAGAGAGAGAGGCCGGAGAGAGAGACCAAAGAGAGAGGCCAGAGAAAGAGACCAGAGAGACAGAGATCAAAGAGAGAGACCAGAAAGAGGGACCTGAGAGAGGGACCAGAGAGAGAGACCAGAGAAAAAGACCAGAGAGAAACCAGTGAGACTTGAGGGAGAGACTAGAGAGAGACCAGAGTGAGAGGCCAGAGAGAGAGACCAAAGAGAGAGGCCAGAGAGAGAGAACAGAGAGAGACCAGAGAGAAACCAGAGAGACTTGAGACAAGAGAGAGACCAGAGAGAGAGACCAGACAGAGAGGCCAGAGAGAGACCAGAGAGAGAGAGACAGAGAGGCCAGAGAGAGGGACCTGAGAGAGGGACCAGAGAGAGAGACCAGAGAGAGAGACCAGAGAGAAAGACCAGAGAGAGAGGCCAGAGAGAGGAGCCAGAGAGAGAGATCAAAGAGAGAGACCAGAGAGAGAGGCCAGAGAGATCAAAGAGAGAGACCAGAGAGAGAGGCCAGAGAGAGGGACCAGAGAGAGGGACCAGAGAGAGAGACCAGAGAGAGACCAGAGAGACCTGAGGGAGGGAGAGGCCAGAGAGAGAGGCCAGAGAGAGAGAGACCAGAGAGAGAGACCAGAGAGAGAGACCAGAGAGAGAGACCAGAGAGAGAGACCAGAGAGAGAAACCAAAGAGAGAAACCAAAGAGAGAAACCAAAGAGAGAGACCAGAGAGGGACCAGAGAGAGAGGCCAGAAAGAGAGACCAGAGAGAGGGACCATAGAGATAGACAAGAGAGAGAGACCAGAGAGAGGGACCAGAGAGAGGGATCAGAGAGAGAGACCAGAGAGAGAGACCTGAGGGATAGACTAGAGAGAGATCATAGAGAGCAAGCAAAGAGAAAGACCAAAGAGAGACCAGAGAGTCCTCTGAACCAGCTCCATGAGGGTCCACTCACAGTTTGTAAACAGAGCCCACACAGTAAAGCGGGTCAAAGCCATGCTGAGTGCTGCTGAAAGTGATCCGACAGGGACCATAACAACACCGGCGTTCCTATCAGCGGGTGGAGGACTCGGGTTCGGTCTCCGCGGTGCTTGGAACACAGCCGCTCGGGAAGAGAGTCCAGAGACAACAAGCAAATCTACTGCCTGTGGATTTACAAGAAATCTGGAGCCAAGGAGCCCCAACACCAGGGATTTGCGTTCATGGTGGGCTTTTGACTAGAGATTTAGACTTTTTATCTCTTCATGGTACCGCAGCACTGACCCAAACAGAAACACTTCGATACATGCATATACGAGTCAGTAACCCAGAAAAAGTATAGTTTAGTGTCTAGAGCAAGAGAGCAGAGAGAGCGACTAAAGAAAGACCAGAGAGAGTAGCCAGAGAGACCAGAAAGATACCAGAGAGACACCAGACTAGATAGACCAGAGAGAGATTAACCAGAGAGTGACCAGAGAGAGACAATACTAGACCAGAGGGAGATGAACCAGAGTGAGACCAGAGAGAGGGACCAGAGAGAGAGGCCAGAGAGAGAGGCCAGAGAGAGAGACCAACCAGAGAGAGAAGCCAGAGAGAGAGAGAGAGACCAGAGACCAGAGAAAAAGACCAGAGAGACCAGAGAGAGATTAACCAGAGAGTGACCAGAGAGAGACAATACTAGACCAGAGAGAGATGAACCAGAGTGAGACCAGAGAGAGATGAACCAGAGTGAGACCAGAGAGACCAGACCGAGATTAACCAGAGTGAGACCAGAGAGAGTAGAGAAAGACCAGAGAGACAAATAACCTAGTGTATTCTTGTTTCAAGTGCTTCTTGGTAAAACAAATGAACAGGAGATGATGAGGTCTAGGATCATTGCTAAAGTCCTAACATTATCATATGTTGTAGACTCTCTCCTCTCTGGTCTCTTACTTCTGGTCTGTCTCTCTCTCTCTCTCTCTCTCTGGACTCTCTCTCTCTCTCTGGTCTCTAAACACCAGATGAGGTCTACTACAACCTGTGGATTTCATGCCGTTATTCTGTGAAGCTCCTTGATCAGCTTGTGCATGTGCTATCCAAATAAATCTGACATCTACACTGACATGCGTGCCACATACAAACATGGAGCAGACTGCAGCATGGTCTGATCCACAGGAGGTCACCCTGTCCTCCGCAGCAGGCCCCGGCATCGGTGGGAAAAGCCCGCCCTCGTGTGGCCGGAGGCGGTAGTGCCGGGAGCGGGCAGGGCTTGTCAAGTGCCATCAGAGCTGATCAAAGAGTGATTTGTGGACGCTGCAGGTGTGGCTGTCACTAAGTTGATTTTAGGCGTGAATGATGAGACAGGCAACCCTTATATAAGTATTGAGCAACGCTGTAAACGTCTGCTATGAAATGTGGTATGTGTTTTTGTACTTCCCCAAACTTCAACCGAGTGTGAATACAGTTAATGACGCCAGGTCTTTTGAATGATTTTATGTTATGTAACTTGTTATTAGGGATAACAGTTTTATTTTTATACTCCAAGAAGCAGTATAAAAAGAGGGAATAAGTCAAAATGATAGTATATAAAACCAAAAAAGTTCCATGATTTGTCTAATTCTATTCCAATTCAATGTATTTGTGTATATATCTCTGAATCACAGCAGAAGTCGTCTCGGAGGACTTTACAAAGTTGTGGATTCCTCAACAAATGTACACAGGCAATGCAATAATACACAAATAAAAACACATAGGAGCCATTGGTCTGGACCACAGGGAGCAGGATGACCACTGTGTACGAATTGGAGCCAAACGTGACTACCATGAGCACTCTTTTCACATTTTTTGATAAAACATTCCATAATGATTGTTGTTGGGCCATGGTCAGTCTTTAAAACTAAAATACGGCCTTCGACTTAGCCTTGGGGTTGTGTCCAGCTACAAATATTTCTGAAAATATTAACACAGTGGTCCGGCTGTCTGCTACGGCTGCGTCTGAAGGTACAGAATATGGTGTAACTGTGTGTGTGGTGGAAGCCGGAGCCAGAACCATAAAAGGAGACCGTTCCAAACCACACATTGACTCACAAATGGCACACACTCATTTCACCATCACATTAATACATTAGTAGTGAGCAGTGATCTGGGAGAGGCTGGGACTGACGCACATTAAACACTCATCCTTTCATACAAGAAAGCTGCTAATCTCAAGAGAATCAAAATGTAAGTGGCCGCCATTAGCAAAGACTGCAATAACAGAAACCATCGTGTGAGAACAGTTCAGGTCATAAACATAATAATATAAGGTCAACAGTCATGGTGCTGTTCATATAAAAAGGTGCAGTCCTTTAAGTGACAAAGTGTAATTTCATTGCAATAATGAGCATATTATTGAAAGTGTATATGTTTGTGAAGTGCTGTGGTGAAAGAGTTGGTGCATGACTCACCTATCGTCCTCTCCATCCGCCTGTTGACCCCTCAGACCGGCCGCAGCTGCCATGAAGGCACTGGCCTCTGCAGACATTTGGGCCACGGCTGCCTCGGCTCCTCCAGCACTGGGGCCCAACCGGGGCAGCCCCAGCAGACCCTGGTGCTGAAACAGCAGTCTCTGTGCGTCCTCCAGCTGAGAGCTCCGTCCTGGGCCAGTGGCTAGGCTCATGTGTGCAGTAGGGGCCAGCAGAGGCTGCAGGTCCGCCTGCAGGGCTGTCAGGGGCATGGGGGCTCCTGGTGGGGGTGCAGGGGGCGCAGCTACTGGGACATGCAAGGGCAGCTGTGGCTGCATCGAGAGAGCTAGACTGTTCACCGTCTGCACGGCGAAGGCTGTCCGAGGAGCAGGGACCCCCTGAGGGTGAGGGACCCCCTGAGGGTGGGGGACACCCTGAGGGTGAGGAAGCCCCTGAATAGGAGGGACCCCCTGGGTGTAGCTCACAGAGGGCTGTGGGAGGGCCCCCCCTGATGTGAGGGATGCTTGGGATAGAGGAGGCTGCACTTGGCTCTGAAAAGGGGCTGTTGGTTGGATGAAGTCAGGCTGGCGTGTCGCTGGTGCCCCGGTGCTTAGCACACTGGGGTAGGGGGCTGCAGTTTGTTGCGGGTCCACAGTGTAGGGCCTTTGGAGGAGAGGAGCAGGCTGACTCACAGTGTGCATGTGCACTCCCATGTGGGCATCCTGCCCAGGAACATAAGGGAGCGGGCTCGGCTGTGAGGGTCCCTGTGGGGGGCCCTGTGAGACCTGTAGAGGATGAGGGGCCGCTGCTTCAGTCTCTGCAGATGCATCTAAACCTTTGGAGGTCTCAGACACAGAGTGAGGAAGCTCCTTCTCATAAAACTCGGTGCACATCCAGCGGCCTTTACGGAAAGGCTCTGAGTTAGTGTCTAGTTTGACCACCCTGAAGCGAGAACCAGGGGCCACCTGAGCCTGCTGGCTGTGGGACCCAAGGGCAGCCTGGGGATGCTGGCTGTGGGAGCTGGGGGCCCCGGTCTCACTGGCCTGAACCTCTGCTGTATGAACAGAGGCCACAGAGCTGTGTTGCTCCACATCAGCAGCTTTAGAGTCTAACAGTGGTGTTTTTTGGGCGTTTGACGTTCCGACCGTGGAGAGCATGTTTGGACTGGAGGTTGCTAATGGGGCCCCAGCTGTGGGCCCAGCTGCCTCCCCTGAGGGCACACTCTGGTGCAGGGCCGTCTGATTGTACGTGTGAGGGTTCACAGTGCCATTCACCAGAGACACCTGGTTGATGTGAGTAAGCACGTGCTCGTTGGGGGACACCATTGCGGGCGTGTCCACTCCATGCAGACTGTTGAGTGTCTCATCAGAGGAGCTCCTCTCTGGGGCACCTGTGTCTGTGGCCCTGGGCCCTACTGACACGTCTATGATGTCACTGGAGGACAGGTCCTCTGTGTGGGACTCATCCATGTCATCATAACTCTCAGTGTCATCTGCTAAACTGTTGTTCCCACTCACATTTATTTGCGCCGACGTCACGCTTGTTATTTGGAAGCCACTTTTCTTCTTGACCTGGGCCCCGGACCCCTGAGGGTGGTGTGGAGCAGGTGATGAGGAGCCTGCCTGGGGGTTCTCGGTGTCTGGTGTGCCCATGGAGCCTCCGGCTAAAGCCCCACTGCTGCCTCTGCGGAGGTGGTAAGCAGACTTCCTCCCTCCTGTTGCAGGTCCTGGTCCAGGCCCCGGGGCTGGAGGGGCCTGGGGGTCCCCACTCTGCTCCTGGTGGTGCATGTCTGTGTCCACAGCCCTTTCAGACCTTGGAGCCACAAGTTGCAAACTAGCTTCGTGACACTACCGCGATACTACAGCAGCAAGTGAGACGTGATTTATGACTTTAAAGACAGAGTCTAAACACAGAGTCCAAACACAGAGTCCAAACACAGAGTCCAAACACAGAGTCCAGACACAGAGTCCAGACACAGAGTCTAAACACAGAGTCCCAACACAGAGTCCCAACACAGAGTCTAAACACAGAGTCCAGACACAAAGTCCAGGCACAGAGTCTAAAGACAGAGTCCAACACAGGCCCGCAGATCGGGGACACTTCAAACATAAACAAGAGCAGAGCTAGCAGTTAGCATGTGTGTTAGCATGTAGCATTAGCCGACAGCCCGTCACTTGTATCCACTCATGACCACAGAATCCTGGGTACAGCACATCCACCAGTGCCTAGACCGGGCCCTCAGTCCGAGCCTCCGTGTCCCGCGGTCACGCAGACACCGGTCGCATCCATCCGTCAGACTCCGCGGTGAAAGGAGAATAAGTGCGCAGAGTCAGTCTCTTAAATTCCGGGTGCAGAGGTGAGGACCCCCGCGGAGCCTCTGGAGGTGTCCACAGGGCGGGCTCCATCCATGTCCCGACAGACCGTGGTGACCTGGATCTGTCCCCGGCAGCTTACGGTGGATGTAGCGGCGGTGAGAGCTGAGAGAGGTCTGTGGTCGGGTCTGCTCCTCCTTCGGGGCCCAGCTGTAGGTCCTGGAGCAGGTGCTGCCCTCCTCTGGTCAGTACCATGGACCATTCCATTAAAAGAAGAACAGTAGGATTTACAAATTAGAAAGCCTAACCGGCACCAAAAATACAAAAATAGCTCAGACCAGATAGTATCAACTTTCCATTAATTGTTAAAATCATTGTTAGTTTTAGTTACTATTTTCATTCCACCACTACTATTAATAATAACAATAATATTAGATGCAACACTGATGCAAAGGTGACCGGCTCCAGTCTATGAGATCTTTATGAGCTCTTTGTATTTGCTGCAGACAGAATGTGGTTTACATCTTTAGATTCACCACACACATAAACACAGATACATTATTGTTACTATTGTTTAATTTATTCATTCATTCATAACTAACATGCGATACCAACATGATCGGATGGGACCACCTGTCCAGGGACTGCAGATGAAAAATAGTTTGGCTAATTCTGGTACATTTACAGACATGTTTATTATTGCACAATGTCCCTGTCAAATAAACTAATAAAATATATAACAATACAACAATTATGGACAAGGCTAATTTGCAAATGTCTGTCCCATTATAGCAAACGAGCAAAGTACCACTGAGATTGTATTTTTTCAGGGGAGTCCTGGCCTTCAGACAGAGGGGGCGGGAGAGTGGACAGGGAGGGTCTTACCGGGGACATGTTTTAGTGGTAGGGGAAACCGGAGCACCTGGAGGGTTGAATGTTTTGAACATGTGAAGCAGATAAGATTGCCATAAGTTCAGTCGATAAAACATTCTCAGGCGCACATACACTGAAGGATCAATGGCATACACTCCAAAGCTAATTTTTTATGGTTTGGTCCGTCCATGAAAACAGGGACACTTTCTTTAACCACAGATACTCATGAAGTTGGTCACGAGCGGTTGTCTTGCTGGCCTCTGGTTCAGGTAGAGTCCATTAAGGATTATCCCCGTAACCACATCCTTCCATACCACTATAATGAGATTTTTTTCCCCACAAACATTTATTCAACGAGCATTTAGATTCACACTGGCTTTGGAATCGTGCCAATAGACCCCCAATGTTTTTATTCAAAAGCCCCATTTTCACCAACTTTACTCTACTCTACTCTACTCTGATTGTAAATGTCTCCTCCGGTTTTCCTACAATTTTAGTGGTATAGGGAAACTGGAGCACCTGGAGGAAACTGGAGCACACAGAACATGCAATCTCTGCGCTACCATGCTGCCCCATTTCCCCAACACTAGTTTGTTGTGGTGTGTTGCTACCATGCTACCATAGACTGTATATGTTGCTACAAAAGCGTAATGGAAACACAACCGAGTAGAGTAGGGCCAATGGTGGAAACAGAGATTTAGTTCCAACGGAAATTCCTCCATTTCCGTAAAGCAGGGATTGGGCAGTCCACTCCAGTCCAGTCCAGTCTTTTCCACACAGACTTGGATTTAACCCCAAACCACACCCCCACCATCTAACCCTGGCTCTTTAACCCCTTAAGGATCACCTAATTTCGCCTGTTTCTTCTCGAATTATGATACCCAAATAGAAATGCTTACTGTGTGGACATCTTGTGTCTGATCTTGTGTTATGAGACCTCATTTGAAAGGTAACACCTTCTAGTTTCTGGAAATGTATGTTACAGTTTGTTAGGAAGGACACAGTCTGCACTACACCTTCTCAAACATGAGTAAAAGTTAGTTTTTTTTGTCTCGAAAAAAAAAGGCAATTTCAAAAGGTTGTCCTGAAGACATACTTTATGATATGTTTGTTCAAACTCACCAGAGCAGATGTCTGTGGTGTTGGCAACAACTGTATGAAATTTTAGACCTTTAGGTGAAACCATTTTGATGCTGGGGGCTTTTTTGTGACTAATGGGCACATTCGGCACAAGCGGTCCATATTTGTGCCAATTGTGCCAAAGTGTTTTACATGCAAATTATCAACATTATTACACCAAAAATCAAATTATATCATTTTTTGGCTATTACTCTTGCTATAAATAGGATTTTTTTCCAGATATTGAAATGTTTACAGAAAAGCTATTATTTACATAGTTATAGCGCGTGTTCTCCGTGAAAATGCTCCGCTTTCCTCTCTTACGCATTCAAATAACACTCGAACAGTGGGAGGAACCTTGAAGTCCGACACATCGCCTGAAACCTGAGATTATTGGCTACAAGATGGTTTGATTGACATCCAAATCGGCCAATGGTAGTCAAGACAATGCTGTCATGACGCACAGAAAGGTAAATGCCTGGAGGGCTGAAGTTTGGTGCGCTTGTTTTCGTCAACTTGTTGTACCCCCCAAACCATAGCACTGAGAAGTCCGAGTGAGGGCTTGTTTTGAAGGGAAGACTGAGAGGAAGACGAACATACCCAGTGATTCTGGGTAAAAAAACAATGGCGTCTTCAGACAGTGCGCAAAGACGCGGTTTTATTTTTGTTCGGGCAACTTTCAAAACTCAAATGTGTCGTTACAAGTGGATATCTACTATAATGATGACTTTGAAGAAAAAACAACTGGATATAAGTATTCTCTAGACCCCCCCGGACAAAATAAATGCACACATGTGTGGATTAGACGTGATTTGGCCCAGAATATTAGCATGAAAAGGTAAGAAAGGACAATATATATTTTTTATATGTATACAGTTTGACTACAAGTACTTACTTTTGTTGATATTTAATGTTTATTTGAACATAATATGCATTTAGAGGTGGGAATAAGCTTTCAAAAGAGGTATAGCTTGACTATATTGACACAAGTTAAGTTATAATACTGATGCAGTTAAATGAAAAATATCTGAATCCTCCCTGTACAGGGAGGGTGATCCTTAAGGGGTTAAATCCCCTGCTCCTCTGTCACTGCCTGTGGCAAAGTCCGAAATGTCCTGAACTGAATCTTTGTCAAAGGATTGGAAGTGAACCAGTTACTCACTGTTAGCTTAAGGAAAGTAAACAATTTGCTGAGAGTGATTTACAACAATGTAAACTGTCATAGGAAAAGAACAAATCTGTTGTACATGAACATGTACATGTTTTTAGTATAGGGGAAACCAGAGTGGACACAGGGAGAACATGCAAACTCCATTCCGAAAGGCCCTGTCTGCTTTGTTCCTTTGCCTTTTCTTAAACGTTATGTCTACTATTACATAGAGGATCAGCTTCTGGGGAGTCTTTAAATAAGATTACGTGAACAGTCCAGACATTTTGGGCGGCACGGTGGCGAGTGGTTAGCACTCTTGCTGCTCAGCAAGAAGGCCCTGATTTCAAATCCCTGTCAAAAGAGGGCCTTTCTGAGTGGAGGTTGCATGTTCTCCCCGTGTCAACAAAGAGTTTTTGTCCATGTGTTCAGGTCTCCCCTACCACTAAAATCCTCCAGCTCTTGTCCTGAAGAGCATCAACATCTGGAGGTGGGACCCCTGCTATAGTGACCACTATGACCATAGTATTTTGGGTTCTAGATTTAGGGCCCTGAGCAATTGCCCAGTATGCCCACCCACATTGCCGCTGTATTTACAGATAGAATTTGTGGAGAGTACATCTATCAAAAAATAAATGCCAATAATTATTATGTGTCATAAAATGAGTTTAATTTTGTGCACGAACCACGGTTTGGGAAACAGAGCTGCACGGCGCATGCGTGGTGCTCTAGGCCCTGGTTCTTTTTGTGTTCGCTTCAGTCGGCTTCATCACACTCCACTCTCTCTGCCGAGCTTCACCGACGCTTATCTGCTTCTTTACGGTCAGTACAAAAGCCCACAGAGTTGGGGGGGCCCTGCCTGCTCCCCTAAAGCCCTGTTTCCTGGGTAAAGTCCCGTTTGACGCCTCCCGTCTGTCATGGACGCGGCGAGCTCAGCATGTTAGCATGTTAGCCCATTAGCAAGGGTTAGCATGTTAGCATGGATTGTTATGAGTAAGCAGCTGGTTAGCATTTACGTCCCACGGTCCCACGGTGTGAAATGTGTGACAGCCGTGATTGTGGCTCTGTCCTCCGCTGTCACTGCCGGTGTGAGGCTCACATGGAGCGGGCCGTTGTAGCAGCCGTCCCCGGGAGAACGCGTGGTGAGGCCGGTGTTGGGACCAGAGCTGCTCTGACAGCTCTGGTCCCAACACCGTATTATACTATTGCTACTAATACACATGTGAGTTAATGTGTCATAGTATTTTTTGTGTGTAAAACTGAAGGTGTGAAGAGGGCGAGCATCCAACATTTTCCCCGTATCACAATTTTAATCGAAATGCCACTGAACCACTCTATTTGTTTTATCTTATCACAATCAGTCGTAATCGACACTATCCACCATTTGATAAATCATGAATGGAACAGTGTAGTTTGGGGATCAATATTTATTTTCTCAGCTGGTCTGGTAGCACCTCAGGATTCCCCCAGATGAGCTGGAGGAAGTGTGTTTTGGAGAGGGAAGTCTGACTGCTGCCCCCTGTATTCAGCAATGCATAAAGTAGATGTTATTTCCATGATAGGGTTACTTATTAATTACTTGTACTTTATTTAAGTGTTGTCTAAACTGTTAGTACTAAGTCCACCGCTGTAGTCTCTGAGACGACACTGACTGCTGTCTGTTTTGTAGGGTGTCTTTTATGAATAATCAAAAGCAGCAAAAGCCGACGCTAACAGGCCAGCGTTTCAAAACGAGGAAAAGAGGTTAGTTGCTTGTTCTCCTCGCTCTCGCTCTATGCCTCTCTTTCTCTCTCCCTCTCTTGCTCTGTTTCTCTCTCTCTCTGCCTCTTGCTCTGTCTCTGTCTCTGTGAAATAACCCGCTCTGTCTCTGCAGATGAAAAGGAGAGGTTTGACCCTACTCAGTTTCAAGAAAGCATCGTACAAGGTTTGAACCAGACTGGCACTGATTTGGAGGCGGTTGCGAAGTTCCTTGATGCATCTGGTGCCAAACTTGACTACCGTCGGTATGCAGAGACACTGTTCGACATCCTGGTGGCCGGCGGCATGCTGGGTCAGTATCAGTCTGCATTCGTCACCTCTGACACGTCTCAGCCTTACATGAATATGATGGGGTCAAATTTAAGAGCTTTATATTGACTTAATGTTCTGAGATATTAGCATTTTTTAATAATAATATTAATAATAATGCATTGTTTTTATATAGCGCTTTTTTGGACACTCAAAGATGCTTCACATATTATTCACTCCATACACGGTGGTGATAAACTACTACTAAAGCCACAGCTGCCCTAGGGCACACTGACAGTAGCGAGGCAACCAGTTTGTGCCATCAGCACCACCAACCATTCACACACACACTAGACTCATTCTAGGCAATGGGGGTGAAGTGTCTTGCCAAGGACGCAACAACTGCAGACATCAGTGGGAGTCGGTGGAGAAGGTCTTATGGTACAATACAATACAATTTATTCTTGTATAGCCCTAGGTCACAACAGAAGTCATCTCAGAGGACTTAACAAAACCATTGAAATCACCAACACAGGTCAGAGAATCAACAGTTAAAACACATGAAGAATACAGTATAAAGCACACACAGAAGAAAATGTCCATACATGTTGTAGAATGCTAAAGTGTCCTGATCATCACCAATCCTTTCTGTTGGACACTAACTGTCCAACAAGACCCTCCTGCATCGACAAGGAAAAACTCTTAAAAAACCCAGTGGGAAAAAGTGAGAAACCTTGGAGGAGAACTAGGGAAACCCACAGGGAGGGAGACCCATATGAGAAAGGGATCCGCTCCTCCGGACGGACAGACTAATGATCTAGGACCTAAGCTAGCTACAGAACGTGGACCAGTGGACGCTGAACGTGGACAGGTCCGGTGCAGGACCGAAGGATCAAACCCACAACCTTCCGGCTGAAAAGCCAATGCTCCCCATTTATTATAGGTGCAATGTTTGTTCTGCTGAATTGATATTTGCCTACACCAATAATGAAGAGATTTCCTTTTAATCTATCAAATTCTCATCTGATCTCATAAACCTTATAATTACATGACGTAGTAAGAGCAGTGTAGCTTGGGGGGTTTTATTTACTTAAGTGGTTCTTTAAAAAAAAAAATTCCCTGTGGACTGTGGTTTTGTGTTTGTCCCGTTCAGCCCCAGGAGGGACCCTGTCTGATGACATGACCCGCACAGAGTTCTGCCTCTTTACGGCACAAGAAGATCTCGAGACGATGCAAGCATACGCTCAGGTAGAGCTTCACACTGATCCCTCTGGTCCCACTGGTCCTCTGTCACAAGCCTGTAGCAGAACCATAGACTGTATATATTAACGGACAGAGTCACGCCTATCTCCGCCGTTCTAACTAATGGGCCAAAAAAGTGCTCTACTGGAGCTATCCAAAATGGCCGCGAGTGGTCCCACCCACAAGAAAATTGTGAAAAAACGCATCTGCGCATCAGCCAACTCACATATTTCCCTCTAAGTTCACTGTGGTTTACTGGTCTTTCCAACACGGTTTTATTTGACGTAGAAGAATGTCTAAACGCAGCAGGGGCAGAACGTGTTGTGGAAATCTGAATAATAGCGCTTTTTGTGGAATTGGATAAACAATTCAATTTTTTATTTACAAAACTTAGTCATACAATTTATACACATTTATACACATTTATAACAGAGTTGGTGTTTTGTAAAAGGGAACTCGGGAAGCTGCATTAGTTTATAGGCCCCAAAAACAAAACATGTACAACAAATTAAACATATTAATCATGTAATGGATAATGTTAAGTAGGCAGGTCATTATCATAAAATAAGTACAGACTCTGCGTGGAGGGGTCTGCTTCCGCCCTGAAGGTCCTTATTATACGGCTTTGTTCCAACAGAACACACAAAATAAACTTCAGTCCACTTTTATAAATGCCGAAAGGTTTATTTTATGACCGCAAATAAAATGTTTCCCAAATGTTTTCCCGTTTCTATGCTAGTAACAGTTGGGCTAGTTACAGTTGGGCTACAGTTGGGCTAGTAACTTTCTCAAACTGCATGAAAACTGAACATCAGCGGTGAGTTACCCAAACATAAACCTAACCTAAATCCATAATTTGATCCTCTGCAAATGTACCTATAATGTCCCGGAATGTACTTCATTAAAACAGTATTTTTGTCATCAAAACATTAACAGATACTTCTGAAAACTTCCGTGCATGTGTATTAAGAATGTTTATGTATAATGTATTCTCCCATTAACATTTAAATGTGTTATTGATTGGTTTTTGCGTTTTATTGAGCGTGGCTAGCTCCAATAGCTTCTCTAGCAGAGACAGTAGTAGCGACGATGTGGCCAGAACTACTTGCGGAGTAATCTACACATTTGAATTACAAGCAGAGGGTGCGTTGCCAAAGGGCAGCGGCCATTATTGTTTTGTTATCAAGAAATAAGGATCGTTAGAACGTTTTGAAATTAAATTCAAATCAATGGAGCATTCTACTGCTGCTGTGAGGAGCCATGTAATAACTAGAAATAAGGGTTTGGGCCAAGGTGTGAATGTGGATGAATGAGTGAATCTCTGCCGGTAGTCCGCCACCCTCCGAAAAGGAAATTAGTTTACGACTAAAGATAGATGGACAAATAAGAGAAATATTTATATTCAGCTAGAAAATAGTATGTGGTTCTTCAAAAATGGAAAATGTTTAAAATGAAGTAGAATTCTACGACTCGAGGCCAAAGCTGTAAATGGTATTAGGTGAGTTGAAGTTGGAATATGAATTGTTATTAGGGCCCAGGGGTTTGTGGATCAGAGGGTTCAATGCTTAAGACTCACCAGAACTTATTTATCAGTTTTCAAAGTCGTATACAAAATTCTAATAATCCTCTTTGTAATGATATAGTTAGTAGGTGTATCATAGTATCATTGTGTATTATCGGGATCAATCGCTCCATTATCCTGGTGCAGAAAAGTGGATACAAGGAAACTTAAACAACAATATCAATGACTGCTGGATCACTATAACAGATCAGGGGATGTTTGACTCCTATGTAACATTTACGTCTCTTGGCAGGTTTTTAACAAACTGATCAGGCGCTACAAATACTTGGAGAAAGGTTTCGAAGAGGAGATCAAGAAGGTTAGTGTTTTTTCACGTGTGTGTGTGTAAAAAGTTGTTTGAATAAGTGCCTAACCCAAATCCGTGAAACTTCTGAACGTGTGTGCAGTTGCTGCTGTTCCTCAAAGGGTTCACCGAGTCGGAGCGGAACAAGCTGGCCATGCTGACGGGGATCCTCCTCGCCAACGGCAGCATCTCAGCCTCCATCCTGAGCAGCCTCTTCAACGAGAACCTGGTTAAAGAAGGTCTGTCTCTCTCTCTGTCTCTCTCTGTCTCTCTCTGTCTCTCTCTGTCTCTGTCTCTCTCTCCGTCTCTCTCTCTCGCTCTCTGTCTCTCTCTCCGTCTCTCTCTCTCGCTCTCTGTCTCTCTCTCGCTCTCTCGCTCTGTCTCTCTCTCGCTCTCTCGCTCTGTCTCTCTCTCGCTCTCTAGCTCTCTAGCTCTCTCTCTGTCTCTCTCCGTCTCTCTCTCTCGCTCTCTGTCTCTCTCGCTCTCTAGCTCTCTAGCTCTCTCTCTGTCTCTCTCTGTCTCTGTCTGCCTCTCTGTCTCTCTCTGCCTCTCTCTGTCTCTGTGTCTTGCTCTCTCTCTCTGCCTCTCTTTCTGCCTCTCTCTCTCACTTTCTGCCTCTCTGTCTTTCTCTTTCTGTCTTTCTCTCTCTCAGCCCCTCTGGTTTCCATGGTTACCACGTGCTTACTTCTGCAGGGGTGTCGGCTGCGTTTGCCGTCAAACTGTTCAAATCCTGGATCCATGAGAAAGACATCAACTCTGTGGCAGCCAGTCTGCGCAAAGTGGGAATGGACAACCGGCTCATGGTAAAGCTCCACCTGTAACCTCCTCTTTACTCTGTTTTCCTCTCCTAACCCTCTCTTTACTCTGTAACCCTCTCCTAACCCTCTTTACTCTGTAACCCTCTCCTAACCCTCTTTACTCTGTAACCCTCTCCTAACCCTCTCTTTACTCTGTTACCCTCTCCTAATCTCTGCTGTTTCTTTCAGGAGCTGTTTCCCGCCAACAAACGCAGCTGTGAGCATTTCTCAAAGTACTTTAACGAAGCCGGACTGAAGGAGATCTCTGACTTCGCTCGCAACCAGCAGTCGATCGGAGCTCGCAAGGAGCTGCAGAAGGAGCTGCAGGAGCAGATGGCCCGGGGAGACCCCATCAGGGAGGTGAGCGTCAGGGGGAGACCCCATCAGGGAGGCGAGCGTCAGATGGACAGAAGTTTTTTTGTTTTTTTTAAAGAATGTTTCTCATGGACAGAAGAATATTTTCTGTGAATCGTAGCAAACAAACTTAATGTGTTGTTTCTGTCTTCTGTCTCTGTCCTCAGATCATCGCCTACACCAAGGATGAGATGAAAAAGGCCGGTCTGTCTGAGCAGGCCATGATCAGCATGATCTGGAGCAGCGTCATGAGCTCCGTGGAGTGGAACAAGAAGGAGGAGCTGGTGACGGAACAAGCCATCAAACTCCTGAAGGTCTGCCCCTTGTGAGGTCACCACAGGAGGGGGGGGATACAGAGGGGGATGGGGGGGGCATAGAGAGGGAGGAGAGTCCAGAAAAGCACTGTATGAAACCAAATTATTATTATTGAGATGCGGTTTTTATCATGTTATGAGGAAGTCCCTTGGCCCCTTCTGTCCATCCGCATCCGGAGGTCAGAGATGAGTCTTGTGGATCATGTGACAGTACTTGACCCGAGTGTTTGTTCCGCAGCAATACAGCCCCCTCCTGAAAGCGTTCACCTCCCAGGGCCTGTCCGAGCTCGGTCTGCTGCTCAAGATCCAGGAGTACTGCTACGACAACATCCACTTCATGAAGACTTTCCAGAAGATGGTGGTGCTGCTCTACAAGGGTACGCACACGCACACATACACGCACAACCATGGAAAAAAAACACACATACAACCAGGTAAACTACACATGCATAAAAAAACACACACACGCACGCACGCACAACCATGGAAAAATAAAAATACACACACACGCTCATTCATGGAAAAAAAACACGCACACAACCAGGAAAACTACACACACACACATTGTTCTAAATGTAAGAACTTAGACAACACTGCTTCACTGTACGTGTGGAGACTAATAATAATAATGCATTGGTTTAATATAGCACTTGTTTTGGACACTCGGTCTCTTCACTTCATTCACTCCAAACACAGTGGTGATAAGCTACTGTAGCCACAGCTGCCCAGGGGCAGACTGACAGAAGCGAGTCTGTGCCATTCAAGTGTAGTTATAGGTCCAGAGTTATAACTAATCCTGTTTGATGTGAGCAAACGGAGGAAAGGGACCTCCTCAAAAAGAGATGATTGAAATGATAAATAAAGAAATACTAGAATATCGGAGGTGTCCTTCTGCTCCGCCCACAGCTGACGTCCTCAGTGAAGAGGTGATCCTGAAGTGGTACTCGGAGGCTCACCTGGCCAAGGGAAAGAGCGTGTTCCTGGAGCAGATGAAGAAGTTTGTGGAGTGGCTGAAGAACGCTGAAGAAGGTGAGGTGTTTATCTATGTGGCTTTATAAACTTCTGACAAACTACAACCAGCAAATTCAGCACAAACTCATGACACCGACACCTCCCTACAACATCCGCCTCCCCCGCTCTCTGATTGGTCGGAGGGGATTCAACCGAGGAAACTGCAGCCACTAGGATCAGACCCAGACGTACATGTAGGAAATTATCATGGACCAGAGTTTACCAAGACTCCCCCCCTCGCAGACCTCCCTGTTCAGCCCCTGTCACATGACCTCCTTCAGGAGCCCCTGTCTCGCAACCTTGCCATGAGCTCCTGTTATGTCACTTCCCTTGGACTTGAAAACGTTTTTCTGCATAAAGTTATAAAGCTTATATTTAACATATAGTATATATTATGTAACAAACAAAAAAAGTGACGTTTGTTCCACAAATTGTGACTGGTATTATGTACAGCGATCGCTGTTTTCATCTGGGTATTTGGGATGCCAAAGGACAATTCTGTTGCCATTTGTTTACAAGAGCGCCACCTACACGTCACCCGTGTAGGTGGAGCCCTTCAAGTTTGTCTTCTCTCAGATTGAGAACATGGAACTCTTTTCTGTTGAATTTGTTGATAAAAGAGGTTATGTATTTTTTTATGAATGCATAATAAATAAGTGAACGGCTTTATCATTGAGTTAAAGCTGCACTAACTGACTTTATTTTTGTATTAATTACTAAAATGCTATCCATGTCCGTGTAGGGCATTGGGATATACGTCCTTTTGAAGAAAAAGTAGTGCAGATTTGTGCTGACGTGACATTATATTTTAGATCGAGTTTTGATGAAACAAGGAAGAGAATGTGTTTCGGGTCGCAGATTGTGACCAATCACAGCGGACCACTGGCTCCCACTTTCAAGGAGAAATCTACAGGTCCGTTAGCACAACAAGCCGAGGAGCTAACCTGAAGCTTCCTCGTCTTCGTCACCGGTTACTGCTTACACAGCGAGACAGCCATCCAAAAGAAAGTCTCGTTCCTCCGCGCTTCCCGGTTCTATGGTCACGCCATCCACGTGCAAATCCATATCCATGGTTTATCCATATTGAGAGACACTAGCTCCGTCCGAACAGTGGGTGTGTGTGGGGGGCGATAGCTTCGTGGGTGCGGGGAGGGGAGCAGAAAGAGCGAGGCCAGCGAGTCTGCTGCTTCAAAATCCCAAAGTCAGTTAGTGCAGCTTTAAGTTAGTTACCACAAAAGGGGAATGTTCAGTATTGCATCACAAGTTACAGAACAGTAGGAAAATCAAAAATGTGTGTAGACCTATAGGTCTAGCTAACTCTTATTCCTCTAGAAATTAATAGAAAAAAGAAATTGGGCACCTATGTAACTTTAATGCTGTTGCGAGAATAATATAGAGTCTGCATCCAGATGCCTCTCGAGTTTACACATGGTAAGACCCAGACGTACATGTAGGAAATAATCATGGACCAGAGTTTACACATGGTAAGACCACGATAGATCAGATACAACAGTGAAATGTGTACCTTCCGGAGGCTCACAACAAACTCACTCATGTCTTGTGTGTGTGTGTAGAGTCCGAGTCGGAGGAGGAGGAGGCAGACTGATCAGCACCAGCGTCCGCGCCTCTGCAGCAGCAGTAGAATGTTCCTCCATGTCTCTTCTACCTCTGCTCTGTCCCCACCACAGGCTGAAGGCACAAATATCCTCTCTCTATTTTGCTAAGCGTTATCGTCGGAAAGCCTTCAGTCATTAGTTTGAAAACATTCCATGTGATTTTGGTGACCACCGCCGACAAGGCCCACAATTCGAAAAGCGTTCTTGCCATACGAGTTTTCCATGAGCTCGTGGCTCAGTCCCGGGTCGTGATCTAAGTTTGGAGCTGTGGCTGTAGAAGCTAACTGCAAACGCATTACTGTTGGTTTCTACTTTCTTTAACCTGAAATCAGACCAATTGACTTTTTTATGAATAAAAAGTTACTAAATCATAATTCACGTGTTCTTCTGTTATAAATGATATTCATAATATACAGTTGAATCCCACAGTTATATTTTAATCATTTATTAGTGAATACAGCAAACATCCAGTGCAAATGTAGAAAAATACTGTTAAAATGTCTGTTACGTTAGCAGCAGCTGGTTTATCTGTGCAAAGGAGAGGACCCTGTGGAGGTAGTTCAGCGTCACTGTGAGGTAGATGCAGCGGTGCCAAGCACCACCCTATCTGTGCAATAACAGGTCTCTACTGCATCTTCATCACATGGTGTAAAGACCCCAGCAGAGCAGCAGCATGAGTCTCTTCCACATAGTGGTTAAACAAGACGCCCCCCTGGACTCGGTGCTTAGCACCTGCTCGGCTGACTATGGAGCAGCCTGGTCTTCATGTAAACAAAGTGTGTCCAGAGCAGGCCCTGTTTGACTGAAGGGCCAGTCTGCTGGAGGGAGGGGCCTATAAGAGCATGAGGACAGAAATATCCCCATCAGGTGCAGCTTTAAGGTGCCTGGTTACAGCTCAACCAAAACAGTGCAGATCCACATGTCCCGGAGTGCGGCGCATGCGCAGAGTGCGGCCTCTACTCTGTGGAGTCACACGTGTCACAACAGCTGGTCTGTGGTCAGTCTACACAGCTCATGGACATGTCCCCCTCACACTGCTGACTGACCAGTTTCCTGTGGTGGAGGCAGAAGGTGCAGATAACCCTGGAGCCTGGAAAGCGCACGCACGGGGGCCCCTCCCCGTCCTCCCCCAGCACCAACACATTGGCCAAGTGGGAGATGTAGCTGGAGGCCAGGCGCAGGGTCTCAATCTTGGACAGTTTTCGGTCTGCGGGCTCGGTGGGGATGAGCATGCGCAGAGTAGAGAAGGCAGAGTTGACGCTGTGGGTACGGTCCCTTTCCCGGGCGTTCGCGGCTTGTCTCTGCTTGTTTGTCCCAGTACCGCTGCGTCTGCGTCTGGCTGCTGCTGCGGGGGATCCACTGCTGGACTTGCCATCAGAGCAGTCCGTGTCCAGGTCCGAGCAGCAGTCTGTGGACTTCATGGTGCTGCTCTGAGCCGCTGCTGCACATCTCGGGTCCTCGTGTCTAAAATAGTCCCGGTCACGGAGAGCAGCAGCTGTGGCCGATCCGGTGACCAGTCTGGAGCAGAGGCAGGGCTCCGGGAGAACAGAGGGACGGGACAGGTGCATGCTGCAGGGAGGGGCCTCTACACACACAGTAAATCAAATATGATACAGCCTCTGACACTTGGTTGTGATCGAGTGAAGACACCAAAGCTCACTCCAACAACAAATGTCTTCAGGTCTGTGGTTCCCAAAGTGGGGTGTGTTCAGGCCTGCGAGAGGAGGCTGAGAATGGTAATGTTTGTAATTATTTTACTCTGAACTAATAGTAACTTGGTCAATCCGTGTATTCCCCAGAGCCACCGCAGTGATTAAGAAATAGCCTAATTATGTATTTTTGATTTAGAAGACTTCTCATAACTTGGACCCTGCAGCCCTGCGTCATCTTAATTTTGAGTATTTTCTTGTACTTTAATCACTGGCGGGATATTGACTCGAGGGAAGCAGATTTTGAACATAATCTTGCAGAATCACTTTTTGCGTGAGACACTGGATTGCTCCCCTCCCTACCAACTCCCCACTACACATGGTGGGCAAAAGTTTGTGCACCCCTGCTTCAGCCTCCTTGTCAGTTAATCATCTCTAGCAGATGTTTAACAAAGGCCTAAAGAACGTCACCAACACGAGTTACATATCTGACTTTATTACAAACACCTTATATACAGACTGTGCCAGCTGAATAAATACAACGCTCAACAAACCACCGCTGCTTGAGGCTCAGTGTCAAATATGAACATTCATCTATTATGGTGATTTTAGTGGTTAAAAAATTGCTCTCTGCAGATATAATTTGGAATGATGTTACATGTTGTTTGTTTCAGTGAAAATAGAATGTGTAAAGACGAACTGTAGAAACTTCCAGAGCAGAGCTGTTGGAGTGAAAACCTGCAGCCACTGGTCTCCGTGAAGACTAAAGCGAATACCCCTGATCCAGACAAAACTACATTTAGATGAACCCGAGCAGGAAGAGGGCCGCAGCAGGATTAATATTCTGTGTGTCTAAAACGGTAACTGCTGGACTTTAAGCCACAACTTCCACCATCTGTGGGAGTTAATGTGAACAGCAGAGACAGAAGGAGGTGCAGGAGATAGATGTGTTTATGTGAAAATGTTCACCACCTCATTGTGTCTGCTTTTGCTCCATCAGCTGTTGGTTTACATTAAACATGAAAACCTGAGCTTATATTCCAGTGTGGCCTTTATGTGGACAGTATATGTGGGTCATTAGCTCAGAGTAGAGCTGCTGCTCCTCCAGTGGTGGTGGCTCGGTGCGTCTTTTTGCCTGAGCCAAAATATGATTAATATAATGTACATTAGTCTGACAAAAATAATTTAAACTTTAGACTGGATCGGTAATCCTCACTGCGTCTGTGGCGTCTCCATTTTAAAGACCCCGGGTCAAAACTTTGGCCCCTGAACACGGGGTCTTCACTTACCCCGTCGTCACTTACTGACGCTGCTATATCCACAAGTTAAATATGACGTGTGGTTAAAGTGACCTTCAAGTGTTCTTCTCTAAATCCCTCTAAAGCAGAGGGTATGGAAACTTATGAACGCTAGTGGACACCTCAAACATGCACACAAGAAAACAAGTGACCCTGGAAATGACATGTTCCAGCTTCTTCCCTTGGGAGAAGACATCTCTCCAGCACATGCAAAACATATCTCACATGAATCTCTGGGACGTTGGACTGAGGGGACGTAGGACTGAGGGGACGTAGGACTGAGGGGACGTGGGACTGAGGGGACGTGGGACTGAGGGGACGTGGGACTGAGGGGACGTGGGACTGAGGGGACGTGGGACTGAGGGGACGTGGGACTGAGGGGACGTGGGACTGAGGGGACGTAGGACTGAGGGGACGTAGGACTGAGGGGACTTAGGACTGAGGTATATATATCAGCTGTAGTCCATGAGAGTTCCACAGGTCCACGTGTCTAAGTGCACTGCCGTGTGAGTCCTTTAGAGGGCGCCATCCCCTGCCTTTGGTCCAGAGCGGTGACGTCAGCCGTGAGCAGAGCGCTGTGAGGACACACACAGAGTCCTTTAGTGGTTACGTTTACTCCAAGTCTATTGTCTCTACAGTGTCACATTGAACTATTATGTATTTAGTTCATGTAGAAACTCATGAAACACATATTTTAGGTCTTATTTTTTTTTTGGATCCAGTCCCTGTCCACAGAACCATATGAAGTCTGCATTGTGTCTGTTCTCCATTCCGGGCGTGTTTCTCACATGTGTGCGTGAGAGCAGAGGCATTTTGGCTCGAATGAAACGTGTTGACATTAAGTTTTATATGAAATCATGGACATATGTTTTCCTTGGATCGTCCTGTTATAAATCACACCGTTCAGTTTTTTCACAATTTCAGTCTCAAATGTCATTAATGTTACTGCAGAATAATAGTTTTAACATATTTTTAGATGTTAGTTTACTTACTCTATAATTTTTTAATCTTTCACACAACTGGCGACATGTGTATGAGCCAAAAAGTCTAAATGAGTGGCCCACCCAGAGAAAATGGCGCCATCTGCTGGTTTGTTAGTGATCAAATGCAGTAGCACTGGTGTGAGTTTGGACCACACTGACCTGTCTGTCCCGGCACAGAACCCCTCGTCCTCCCGCGGGACACACGCACACACCGGGTCGCACACATCGCCCTCCGGAAACACACCTGGGCTCGCACACAGCTGCACACACAACATCACGACAGCTTTTATCTGTGAACTGGTCAGAGCCTCAGTCCTGGGTCTACAGCAGCAGTCCTGGATCTATACAGTCTCAGCCTGCGTCTACAGCCTCAGTCCTGGATTTGCAGCCTTAGTCCTGGGTCCATGGACTCAGTCCTGGGTCTGCAGCCTTAGTCCTGGGTCCATGGACTCAGTCCTGGATCTACAGCCTCAGTCCTGGGTCTACAGCCTCTGTCCTGGGTCTACAGCCTCAGTCCTGAATCTACAGTCTCAGTTCTGGGTCTACAGTCCTTCAAATCGTGATCACACTGGTCTGTACTCACGGGTCAGGCAGAAGGGTCCTGACCATCCCGCCGGACAGAGGCACGTGTTGGGGCCCACACACTCCCCTCCATTCAGACACCTCTGGACACAGCTCGCTACACACACACACACACACACACACCCACACACACATTAATACAATACACACTCAATCCGCCTTAGAATAAAGGACATATATTCTTAATTTTAGTCTAAAAAAATATGAGAATTTTTCATTTGATGTTTTTTGTGAAATAATAATTAAAGTTAGGGTAAAACATCAAGAAGTTCATTTAGTTTTGATTTTCTGAAATGCCAGTACCAGCTGAGAAATGACCAAAACAATATTTTTGTTTTAAAAGCCAAAAAAGTGGGTGAACTCTGGATCTGATTGGTCGGTGGGGGTGAACTCTGGATCGGATTGGTCGGTGGGGGTGTACTCTGGATCTGATTGGTCGGTGGGGGTGTACTCTGGATCGGATTGGTCGGTGGGGGTGTACTCTGGATCGGATTGGTCGGTGGGGGTGTACTCTGGATCGGATTGGTCGGTGGGGGTGTACTCTGGATCGGATTGGTCGGTGGGGGTGTACTCTGGATCGGATTGGTCGGTGGGGGTGTACTCTGGATCGGATTGGTCGGTGGGGGTGTACTCTGGATCGGATTGGTCGGTAGGGGTGTACTCTGGATCGGATTGGTCGGTGGGGGTGTACTCTGGATCGGATTGGTCGGTGGGGGTGTACTCTGGATCGGATTGGTCGGTGGGGGTGTACTCACGTGTGTCACAGATGTGTCCGCTCCAGCCCGCAGGACAGTCGCACACGTTTGGAGCAACACAGCGACCGGCGTTCATACAACGCGGCTCGCACACCTCTGCACACAACACAGACATATTACACAGACACACACTTTACATACACACACATATACACTTACACATTACAAGCACACACATATAGTATATTCACACATTATACACATAGGCACACACACACATACTGTACACATATATCTTACACGCACACAGAGACACATACATTTACATACACACAAATGCATATTACACACACCTACACACTGTACACATAGACATAGATTACAGACGCGCACACATACACACATACACACATCTACACTCACACACACATTTACATACACACATATACACTCACACACACATTTACATACACACAGACAATACAATTTGTAGAACTAACTTGTCTGGCAGCGTGGACCGGAATATCCTTGTGCGCAGGAGCACACGCCTCCACGCACACACACACCGGCGTTCTGACAGGGCGGCCTGCACACGGCTGCACACACACACACACGCACATACACATATATTACTCAAAAATCACATCCACGAAAGCCAGAGAGTGACCAAAACCGATTATCAATAATTCTTTGTATAATATATATAATAATATATTTGTAATTATATGTTTATTTTATCTTTAAAACATTCCGGAAGACCAGAAGGACTGAGGACCAGAGAGACCAGAAGGACTGAAGACCAGAGGGACTAGAAGGCCTGAGGACCAGAGGGACCGGAAGGACTGAGGACCAGAGAGACCAGAGACCATAAGGACTGAAGACCAGAGGGACCGGAAGGACTGAGGACCAGAGAGACCAGAAGGACTGAAGACCAGAGGGACTAGAAGGCCTGAGGACCAGAGGGACCGGAAGGACTGAGGACCAGAGAGACCAGAAGGACTGAGGACCAGAGACCAGAAGGACTGAAGACCAGAGGGACCGGAAGGACTGAGGACCAGAGGGACCGGAAGGACTGAGGACCAGAGAGACCAGAAGGAATGAAGACCAGAGGGACTAGAAGGCCTGAGGACCAGAGGGACCGGAAGGACTGAGGACCAGAGAGACCAGAAGGACTGAAGACCAGAGAGGCCAGAAGGACTGAGGACCAGAGGGACCAGAAGGACTAAAGACCAGAGAGATTTTAGGGACTCATTGATGAAGTTTACCGATGTGACAGCGGTGTCCGTAGAAGCCTGGGGGGCAACGGCAGGAGTCGGGCCGCACGCACACACCTCCGTTCAGACACACAGGAGCGCACACAGCTGCAGCACAGAACACATCATCAAAATGTCACCTCCTCACAGTTCTCACAGAGGTTTCCCGCTGAAGTAAACCAATGATATTAATAACACACAATCGTGAACAGCCGAGTCAACAACACACACACACAAAACACACAGGTCAAGGTTGTGTCCTCTGTTGTGAGTTGGCTGTGTGACGTGTTGAGTAAAATCCATGTAATTAAGAACATTTAAAAACAAATTATAAAAATGGCTTGATAGATTGTAGTGTTGGTTAAAATCATCTGAAATGTATGAAAATGATAAGACTGGCCATTTTAGGGGGTCAATAAATTATGACCGCTACATTTTTGGAGCTGCTAACAAAAGAGAATGGTGTTGAAAACTTGAATATTGTTCAAAAGTTGTGACCAAGCTGTGCCACCGCCCCTTTTTTCCTTCCCTTGTTGTAAAAGCGAAGCTAGAATGGACAGGGAGGCCTCTGTGTGAAATAGATCGGCGTTACTGATGTCGCTGTCTTGGTCAGTACCAAATAATCTAAGTCTCTCTGGAAAGTACTAGTACACCCTGATCATTTGCACATTTTCTTCACAAAGATTTGATTCCGATTTTTTTCTGAAAATTCTTACTAACAGACGACTGTGGAGTGAAAGCAAAATGAGACATGATTCAGTTATGATAGAAAGTGAAAAATGGAGCGTGTTATGCTTCTCTTCAGCAGGGTCAGAGTTAAAGGAGCTATACCCATTTTTTTTTTTCAGTTTGAATGTTTAGCCCCGCCCCAAACTCGCTCACAGGCTTCTCATTCCCCCTACGCTCTCCTGCCACAGAGTCATCTAGTTTTAATGCGATCTGATACATATGCTAACATTAGCATTAGCGCAACTTCATGTAAGCTATATGACAATCACTGATGAAATGGTACAAAAGCAACGCACTGCTAACAAAATATACAGTGCCTTGCGAAAGTATTCGGCCCCCTTGTACCTTTCAACATTTCGCCACATTTCAGGCTTCAAACATAAAGATATAAAAAATTATTTTTTTGTCAAGAGTCAACAACAAGTGGGACACAATCGTGAAGTGGAACAAAATTTATTGGATCATTTAAACTTTTTTAACAAACAAAAAACTGAAAAGTGGGGCGTGCAATATTATTCGGCCCCCTTGCGCTAATACTTTGTAGCGCCACCTTTTGCTGCAATTACAGCTGCAAGTCACTTGGGGTATGTCTCTATCAGTTTTGCACATCGAGAGACTGGAATTCTTTCCCATTCTTTCTTGCAAAACAGCTCGAGCTCAGTGAGGTTGGATGGAGAGCATTTGTGAACAGCAGTCTCCAGCTCTTTCCACAGATTCTCGATTGGATTCAGGTCTGGACTTTGACTTGGCCATTCTATCACCTGGATACGTCTATTTGTGAACCATTCCACTGTAGATTTGGCTTTATGTTTTGGATCATCGTCCTGTTGGAAGATAAATCTCCGTCCCAGTCTCAGGTCTTTTGCAGACTCCAACAGGTTTTCTTCCAGAATGGTCCTGTATTTGGCTCAATCCATCTTCCCATCAATTTTAGCCATCTTCCCTGTCCCTGCTGAAGAAAAGCCGGCCCAAACCATGATGCTGCCACCACCATGTTTGACAGTGGGGATGGTGTGGACAGGGTGATGAGCGGTGTTGCTTTTACGCCAAACATATCGTTTTGCATTGTGGCCAAAAAGTTCGATTTTGGTTTCATCTGACCAGAGCACCTTCTTCCACATGTTTGGTGTGTCTCCCAGGTGGCTTGTGGCAAACTTTAAACGAGACTTTTTATGGATATCTTTGAGAAATGGCTTTCTTCTTGCCACTCTTCCATAAAGACCAGATTTGTGCAGTGCACGACTGATTGTTGTCCTATGGACAGACTCTCCCACCTCAGCTGTAGTTATCTGCAGTTCATCCAGAGTGATCATGGGCCTCTTGTCTGCATCTCTGATCAGTCTTCTCCTTGTTTGAGATGAAAGTTTGGAGGGACGGCCGGGTCTTGGTAGATTTGCAGTGGTCTGATACTCCTTCCATTTCAATATAATTGCTTGCACAGTGCTCCTTGAGATGTTTAAAGCTTGGGAAATCTTTTTGTATCCAAATCCGGCTTTAAACTTCTCCACAACAGTATCTCGGACCTGCCTGGTGTGTTCCTTTGTCTTCATGGTTCTCTCTGCGCTTTAAACAGAACCCTGAGACTAAGAGCAGGTGCATTTAGGGCTGGGCGATAAAACGATAACGATATATATCGCGATAGACACGTGTTCGATATCAATAGAAAACGGGGTCGATAGAACTTTCGATAGTTTAACTTAACTCCGTTCGAAAAAACAGGAACGAAACACAGGAAGTGAAGCCGAGTCAGAAGCGCGCGGCATTCTGGGGGATGTAGGCAGAGACTTCTCGACCTATCACAGCCGACTACAAACCGCAAAACTTTCTGGGAATGAAAAAAAACAACCGCACCATGCGTAGCGTCCATGGATCATGGGTCTATTATAATAGCCCTGGATCTAAAGATCGTGTCTCAGTGCCGTGTCAATGGTTAAACATGTCCTGCGAGGAACAGCATGTGCGGCGCGGGAGAGGCAGAGACTCGATGCATTCGGCAAAAGCAAGAGATTTACTTTCCGGAGCCGCCACGGGGACACAGGACTAGGGATGTAAATCGGCGACCGTTTAACCGGTTGTTGACCGTCACAGCGTTAACCGGTCAAAGCTGTCGGTTAAAAAAGAGAAAAAGGGGAGAGGGGAGGTCTCTTCATAACGCTATTTTAAGCCCTATTTGCACGGTGTGACGAGCGGGTCTGTATCTAGCTGTGTGCGCCCATGTATTATAAACTCCGGGACGACTCTCACGCCGCACGAGCCACATATGCACACACGCACGCGCACACACACACACACACACACACGCACACACACACTTTCCCCCTCTCCATACGTAACATCCACACGCATCCTCTCTCCCCTCTGTTACCGTCAAAAAGTTGCACACTGGCGCAGGTCAGAACTACATTGGAGCTTACATTTACACACACACACATATACATATACATACACACACACACATACACACACACTTACACACACACATACCGGTCTGTCGCGCTCCTCTGTGTCACGGAGCCCAAAGGATTCGCGCAAATACGCGGCTCCAGTCCAACCACATGGAACATGTTTGTGTTTATGGTCCTCGGGATCAGCTCCACACACAGACCTGTGAGACGCGGCTCGTCACTCGCTGCTCTGACCATGTGGACGAGCCGTCGTTTGCTGCTAGAAAGTTTTGGTATTAACCCGCAGCACAGAATGGGAAGATTAAAAAAGCAGTTCTCTGTGCGCAAAGGTGCCGGAGCTGTTGCGGGTTTGGGCGCCGCTGTCTCAACTCTGATCCAGTAGAACGCAGAGCTGCACTTATGAAAAGTACATGGCTCGAAATGGCTGTTATTTCAAAGAACGTGGACTATTTTAAACTACGCGGTTAACCGGTTTCAACCGGTTAATGAGGCTCGGTGGTCGGTCATGAAAATTCATAGTTTTTTACATCCCTACACAGGACACTCGAAAACAGGTGCTAAACCAGGACTAAACGAGGATTAATCCAGGACTAAAGTGGGGGAGACTGCTTGTGAACATTTGGCTCCAGCCTCATTCCCCCGTGACTGTAAACAAGGCTACTAATATGTGTTAGCCGACACGACAAATGTATTTATTTACGTTTTAGAAAATAAATAAAAAACAATCAATATATATCGTTATTGACCGATATGAATTACTTATATTGTGATATAGTTTTCAGTCATATCGCCCAGCCCTAGGTGCATTTATACTGAGACTTGATTACACACAGGTACATTCTATTTATCATCATCAGTCATTTAGGACAACATTGGATCATTCAAAGATCCTCACTGAACTTCTGGAGTGACTTTGCTGCACTGAAAGTAAAGGGGCCGAATAATATTGCACGCCCCACTTTTCAGTTTTTTATTTGTTAAAAAAGTTTAAATCATCCAATAAATTTTGTTCCACTTCACGATTGTGTCCCACTTGTTGTTGATTCATGACAAAAAATTAAAACTTTATATCTTTATGTTTGAAGCCTGAAGAAAGGTTCAAGGGTGCCGAATACTTTTGCAAGGCACTGTATAAATGAAAGATTACTGCTAGCTATGTTCACCTGGGCTTGATTTTTTGGCTTTAGTTCCCTCTTCTCTTCCTCACTGTTGTGTGGTTTGGGCTGTAGTTACAGCCAGAGGAGTTATAGCCAATTATGCTAACATGCTACTGTGTTTAGCAGCGCTGTAGAGGCTAGAGGACGCAGCCTCGTTCTGTGATTGGAGGAGAGCGGGCGTTACGCCTAGTCTCTACTCAGCATTTTTTACAGCCTGAATTCATACACAAGATGAATCAATGAGCCCAAGTTTTCAATTAAATTACAGATTTTAATACAACTTGTGTGTAGTAATACGCATAAAAAATAAATCGGGCTTTAATGGGAAGGTGGCTGGAGCAAAATACAGGACATTATTGGACTAAAAGCTGCTGCAGTTGGGTTTCCACATGGTATTTACTCTGCTGTCCGGTCACTTATGCACAGCCTACTTTAAAGATTTAGATTTTTTTTAAACTTTCACTTTGATATTTTTCAAAATATCAGAGTTCTGCTGTAAAGTCACATAAATAATGGTGTTTTAGTGCAGTCGTGTCATGAGGGGAGGGGTGTTCCTGACTCACCGCTCTCACAGGATGGTCCTGTCCAGCCCGCCGCACACTCACATCTGTCCGGAGACACACAGCGCCCCCCGTGGTGACAGTGCTGACTGCACACCACTGGAACAAACACAAAGGCGTAAGAATGTCTTTAGCAAACCGTCCATCCAATGAACCTTGTGAGGTCACTCCTCTGACCTCTGTCCCTTTGAACATGCAGGTACAGGCACGAAGGCCCTCAAGCCTCACCCATTCTGTCAGGAGGAGTGGGCCAAAATTCCACCAATTTATGAGAGGCCAAAGTTAAACAGTTTAAGGCAATTCTACCAAATATGAACCCTATGTGTTTAAGCTTCTGAATGATCATAATTCCCTCCCACTGTTTTGACAATCAATCAATCAATCCTTTATTATCTCACAAATGGAGAAATTCATTAACATTTATCAAATAATGTTTTCCAAGATAACGATGTCAACTTGTTTTTTCATTGCCATTGTAACAAACAGGAAGTCACAAACTAGGGATTTTCTTTGGCTAGGTGCAAACAGGTTAAAATAGATATAAGGCATGCCTACAAATTCTTCATGAAATGTCTTGATATTACTGCTATATTGCACACTAAGTACACACGGTATACATAACACTGCAGGTAAAGGGACAGTAGTCTAAGGTGCGGTCATAAAGGTCAGCGGTCCATGACTTATGACTGCAACAATGCATCACAGTCCTCCACGGTACACGTCTGGAGCGCCTCCTGAACCCTGGTCCAGTAGACTTTAGACTCACTTGTTTCACAGCGAGGTCCAACGAAGCCCAGAGTACAGGAGCAGGTCTGAGGTCCCACACAGGAGCCCCCATTCTCACAAGGCAGTCTGCACACGGCTGCACACAGGAGAGACTCAGGTTTATAGGGGCGGGGCCAGGATCATGTGGGCGGGGCCAGAGAAGGGATTTAATAATATTGATGTTAGAAGTTGTAGTAGACATGAAACAAGCCTACCTTCCTCACAAGTGTCTCCGTGAAATCCTGCTGGACACTGGCACACGGCGGGGGTCACGCACACGCCACCGTTCACACAGGGGGGGGCACACTCCGCTGGGACAGGGGGACATAAGAGCGAGTTTTAACAATATATCTGGTTTATACTGCGCTTTTTTGGACATTCAAAGACGCTTCAAATGTCAATATTCATTCATTATATACACAGGGGTGAAAAACTATTACTACTACTGCCCTGGGGCACACTGACAGGAGTGAGGCAACCAGTCTGTGCCATCGGCCCCTCCCACCACCACCAACCATTCACATTCTAGACAATGTGAGTGAAGTGTCTTGCTTGGCACATTACAGCCACATCCGCCCCAGTGAGGCACCTGGTGTTCCCAGAGGTCTCCCATCACAGTACTAACCAGGCCTTGTTCTGCTTAGCTACAGAGGTCTGACAGGATAGGAATGGTAACACCTGGGACACATAGATAGATATATTATATTTTATTGATCCAAACGGAAATTGTGCATTGGTTCTTTGCTTGCAATCATAAAAACATACATAGTATAGATGGATAAAAGATCAAAAATAATTAAAAATGACAATATAATACATTAAAATCATTAAAAGAGAGAATTTAAGGCACTCTGTCTCTATGGGCCCACATTATGGATTCCTCAGACCTTTGTTGGCTCTCTCTGGAACCAGTTTGACATTGGGGCCTCACCTGTCTCACAGCGGGGGCCCCTGTACCCCTTCTTACAGCGGCAGGTGTTGGGGGCGGCACACTCCATGTTCCTCCCACAGGCGAATCTGCAGACAGCTGACAGAAAGACGAGAATCCGGTGTGGTTAGTCTCTCAGATGATGTTATGCTGTATTATGACACAGATTCAGATTCAAACCTCTGCATGTGCGGCCGTCCCCCGTGTACCCGGCAGGACACCTCAGGCAGCGGCCGTTACCATCAGAGGTCTCCACACACTGCACTCCAGGAAAACATGGCTGGTTTGCACAGGAGACCGATCTGCTGACCGCGGGGCTGAGCGAGACCACGGCCGAGGGGAACGCCGAGACGTACGATTCAGCACCGCTCACCTGCTGAAGACAGATCACGTCGCAAAATCGCAAAAATGTTAAAATTATGACAACTCTTTGGATAAAGGTTCAGGGAAATGGCTGCAAACTATACAATCAATGATAAAACATGTAGGAAAAATCTGTAAATAACATCTGTCAATTCATGCCCTCCGCTTTATCCGTCGCCTGGTTGCGGGGGCAGCAGTTTGAGCAGGTGTTCCCGGGTCAGTTGAGAGACAGTCCCTCCAGCTTGTCCTGGGTCTTCCTCTGGTCTCTTCCTGGTGGGACGTGCCCTGAACAGGAGGTATCTGAGCTCCTGCCTTATTACTGAGGTCCTCATCCTATTTCCAAGGGAGAGACCAGAGAGAGACATGAGAGAGTCCTGAGAGAGAGACCAGAGAGAGACCTGAGGGACCAGAGAGAGACCAGAGAGAGACCTGAGAGACCAGAGGGACCAGAGAGAGACCAGAGAGAGACCTGAGAGACCAGAGAGAGACCTGAGAGACCAGAGGGACCAGAGAGAGACCAGAGAGAGACCTGAGGGATCAGAGAGAGACCAGAGAGAGACCTGAGAGACCAGAGAGAGACCAGAGAAAGAGGCCAGACAGAGACCAGAGATAGACCAGAGAAAGAGGCCAGAGAGAGGCCAGAGAGAGACCTGAGAGACCAGAAAGAGACAAGAGAAAGATGCCATAGAGAAACCAGAGAGAGACCAGAGGGAGACCTGAGAAAGAGGCCTGAGAGAGAGATCAGAGGCACATGTGAGAGGAAAAACAGAGAGAGAAACCTACAGTAAGTGACTCCTTGCGTTAACTAAGAAAGTGCATCCTCGTTACCCAAAGCTCATAAAGGTTTTCTTATCACCATCGGCCTCGTAAACCGTGACTCTCACCACCAATCACACATATAGTATTCTTCTGTTTTTGTTCAAATCCAGGGTTAAAAAAACAACAATGCATGATTATTTATGAGTTTCTTTCGGTGTGGGGGGCTGGTCTGGGGATGTGGCAACGGCCGGGGCATGCAGGTGAAAACTAGTGGTCCTGTACAAATGGCAAAAGCTACCGAAATATTATTGTAAAAAAGTAAATTCAACCGTAAATGCATCGATACAATGATGAAGGTTTTTAAATGTCTGTATTTCTATATATCTGTAAGCTTACCTGCTCCTCCTCTCCATCGGCAGAAAACTCCAGCGCCTGAGAGTCTGCGTTGGGCTCAGACAGGACCAGGGCCGCGGTCAGGGCTCTGGGCGGGTGAGGGGGGGTGAGAGCGTGAGGGGTTGTGAGTGCGAGAGTGGGAGTCTGTGGAGTTTCCTTATGCTCTCTCTGGGACCGCAGTGTTAGCGCCGCGGCCCGTAGCTGCGGCGTTGCGCGGTGCAGTAGCTGGGCGCTCTCCGTCAGAGCTCGGGGAAGTTGGGACCTCCTCGCGTCCTGGGTCACCGCGGTGGGGGGGCGCATCGGGGTGAGGTGCGGTGGGGTGTGAGCTGTGGAAGGCTGAGGCTGGGTCACTGCTCGGGGGCTGTGCTGGGGTGATGTCTGCAGAGGAGTGGACAAAACTGTGTTCTGAAGACTCGTCTGAAATAGAAATATTTCAATAGTCCTGGATCTACAGCCTCAGTCCTGGGTCTACAGCCTCAGTCCTGGATCTACAGCCTCAGTCCTGGGTCTACAGCCTCAGTCCTGGGTCTACAGCCTCAGTCCTGGGTCTACAGCCTCAGTCCTGGATCTACAGCCTCAGTCCTAGGTCTACAGCCTCAGTCCTGGGTCTATAGCCTCAGTCCTGGGTCTACAGCCTCAGTCCTGGGTCTACAGCCTCAGTCCTGGGTCTACAGCCTCAGTCCTGGGTACCTCCCAACACCATAAAAACAACACATACATGAAACTAGTGCCATCTTTACCTGGGACGTCCTGGTGTCTCTGCGGCCGGTGCCCCCTCCCCTGGCAGGTGCGTGCGCTGGCACGGTCATGGTGTGGCCCATGGTGTGGCTCATGGTGTGGCTCATGGTGTGGCTCATGGTGTGGCTCATGGTGTGGCTCATGGTGTGGCTCATAGTGTGAGCGGGCTTCTTTCTGGCTGAGGGGGGCAAGGGTCGGTGGGGCACAGGGGGCAGGTGCAGCAGGGACACTCTGATGCGCTCGGAGCCCGGCTTGACCAGTGTGTGAGGGGCCTCTCTGGTTCCTAACCCATGTGACAACAAAGATCAAAGGGAGTTAAGATCTAAATAGCTTTGTCCTTTAAAGCTGGGGTACCTCACTTTCTTTCATTAATAATACATTTTTGGTTACTTCCAAGAGTCTCTATTGGACTCTTTGGGGCAGAGCTGATTGGCTGAGTGAGGGTGGTCTTCTCTTTTTAACTTTTCCATTTTTCTGTCTGACAAAGCTGTGACAGAGCCAAAATACATGTGTGTGAGAGACCAGAAAGACCAGAGAGAGAGACCATAGAGAGAAAGGCCAGAGAGGGACCAGAGAGGAGATTCCAGAGAGAGACCAGAGAAAGAGACCAGAGAGATACCATAGAGAGACCAGAAAGACCAGAGAAAGAGACCATAGAGACACTAGGGAGAGAAACCAGAAAGACCAGATAAAGAGACCAAAGAGAGACCATAGAGAGATACCAGAAAGAGACCATAGAGAGACCAGAGAGAGACAAGAGCAAGACCATAGAGAGACCAGTGAGAGATACCAGAGAGAGAGACCAGAACATACAGTAAAGATGTGACAGAGATACATCTATGAAACTAGTGATAGAAGCATTAATAGCAAAAAACCAGAGACATGGATATTGATTTATTGTTCACTTTTTGTGATTTGAAAGTCAGGTACCCCAGCTTTAAACATATACTTGATCATTCCATGTTTTTTAATTTACAATATTTAGTAGAAACACAAAATCTCATATGTGATTGGACACATGAATTATGCTATGATTTGGGCAGAATACCTGGTCTGGGCGCTTTGACACACACACGCCCGTTGCCGTGGAGACCCGGGGGGCAGCGGGCACATACGTAGCCCACGTGAGGCGGTCTGCGGTCGATGCACTGCACGCCGGGGAAACATGGCCGACTGGCACAGGAGGACGACACGTTCAGAGAAGCACGCGAGGAGCCTGGGAGGAAACAGTCACGGTCAAACCAGCCACAGCCAGAATCAACCTGCTCTGGGCGTCCCTCAAGGCTCAACACTAGGCCCGCTCTTCTTCACACAGACACAGTCATTTCTATGGCCACATGTCAGAGTTTTTTATTGAATTACAGCTTATCGCGGGTCAAAGGATGTGCTGCCCCTGTAGGTCTTAACCCGCGGCATCACCAACTTTTGACCAGACGGTGAGAGTCTATATTTTTGACCAGACGGAATCAAATGCGTCCATCACAATCTCCAGAGCAAGATTCAAGCTCAAGTCTGTCAGCTACCACAGTAAACATATACTATCGCTCCTCTCTCTCTGGAGCCAGGACTCCCCTGAAAAATGTGATTCTGAAATTACATTGGGACTTTCCTGGTTAAATAAAGGTAAATAAATAAAAGCACAGTCCTTTTGTTTTCCCCAAGATGTTGCTTTCTTGTTTCATAGCAATTTTTAGTTGGAAGAAACAAAGCTCAGTCCCAACACTGAACGCAAAAGGATCATATACTTTCAATAAAGGTTTGATAATACAGTATCAATATGGTTCAATAACATCAAAGGCACAAGATTCTCTCAAGACATAGACGTTGCAGAGTTTTGAAAATGAATGAATGCATGTTGTCATATAAAGCAATATATGGGACTAAGATGTTGAAATCAAACCTATGATATATGTACTCAGTAAAAGCCAGACCTCGGACTCACCCTGAGGTCCAGAAGAGCGCTGACTCTCCTCAAGGATGACATTACTGAGTTCTTTTGCTTCAGCTGTGGTTTGAGCTCCTTTATGTCTGCTCACAGTTACAGGCCGCTGTGATGTCTCTGTATTGTCACCCTTCGTGATGGACCCAATTCTCTTAGTGCTGTGGTCCTTTGTGAAGGCGCTCCTCTGGCTCACGGTGAAGGCGACAGGGGTTTGGGCGGATCTGCTTTCCCCTCTGGTCAGTGGTTCTCTGAGAGGCCTCTGGAGCAGGGTGCTTTGGTGTCTGGAGGGCGGCAGCAGGACGTGGGCTCTCCTGAGGGCCGTGGTGTGTGGAGCGGGTGTTACAGAGGTGGGGTCTGGTCTAACATCTGCGTCTGAGGAAAAAAAATATCCGCCATTTTGACACGCACCACAGTGAAGGAACCTGGTCTTGTCAAATTCGAACTGTATAGAGTCTATGTTAGCATTGTCCATCTGTATACAGTCTGTGTTAGCATTGGTCGTCTATGTTAGCATTAGCATCTGTATACAGTCTGTGTTAGCATTGTCCATCTGTATACAGTCTATGTTCACATTATCCATCTGTGAACTCTCTGTGTGGAGGTCAGTTAGCATTAGCATGTCTCACCCATGCACAGGGTCCTGTTGGTCCCCGGGGGCCCAGTGCAGGGGCCACAGCTGAATGAGCCAAACGTGTTGAAGCACTGTTGCCTGGGGCGACAAGGCGACAGGGTGCACTCGTCCACGTCCTGCAGACAGCTCTGTCCTGGAGAGAGACACATGTGAGGACATAAACAGGTCCCCCCACCCCTTCTGTCTGAATGCTCTGATTTCAAACATCATGAGGCTCTGTATGAATGCCTCCAGTCATGAAACAGTGGATTCTGATCTAAGTCTATCAAAAAGTAATATCTGACTTCTACCACCAGATGGGAGTGTCATGATTTCTCTAATGCTTTCCTCTCTAATCTCATATTCATGTTTATCCTTAAATCCGATTCTTGTGAATTGGAATAATTGTTGTGAAACCAGCTGCAGCCAGATCCTGTCCGACCTCTGAAGCTAAACATGGCAGAAAGTCAATATTCTCAAGTCAGATGGACACAGCCCCTCCCTCACCTGTGAGTCCAGGGGGGCACACGCACAGGAAGTGGCCCCTGCCGGCTGGGAGCTGACCATCAATCACACAGGTGCCTCCATGATGACACACACACACCTGGGGCCCCACCCGTACCTGTGGGTCAGCAGGACTCTGGTTAGACCTGATTCAACACACACATGTTCAGGAAAAGAGGTCACAATAGATGGGACAAGATTTGTTTGGGAATAATGCACACACACACACACATAGACACACACAGACACACACAGAGACACACGCAGACACACACAGACACACACAGACACACACACAGACACACACATAGACACACACAGACACACACACAGACACACACATAGACACACATAGACACACACAGACACACACACACACACACACACAGGCCTCACCTGCACAGACACCCAGCTCTGGGCGCCGCACTCGTCCCTCAGCCTCAGCCTCAGCCTCACCCCCTGGATCCCCACTGCAGACACCGGCACCTTCCAGACCAGGAGCCCTGCAGAGGACAGCGTGGCCCCTGGGGGCCCCTGCTCCATGTGAAACACAAGAGCAGAGCCCTCAGGATCTGAGGCTGAAAACTGAAACACAAAGGTCTCTGAAGCAAAGGTCTGCAGCGGGAGCTCGGGCGGGTGGAACACAGGGGCTTTGTTCTCTGCACACACAGGATCATTATATGAGTGGGTAGACATCTTTGGCATGTGAACATAAGTGTGTGTGTGTCTGTGTGTGCGTGCCTGTGTGTGTGTCTATGTGTGTGTTTGTGTGTGTCTGTGTGTACCTTGGTTCCGGGACCAGGTGGACGTGGACAGGCTCGGGTCACACCTTAGACAGGGGCTGCTGGGGCTTGGCTCTCCCTCTGAGAAACACAAGCCATCGATGCTGCAGCTGCCTTTCTGCTCATACACACACAGAGACACACACAGACACACGCTTAATATCACAATATCTCTCAAATCAGCTTGAGTCAGACTAGATGCATGTTTCCTTGAGAATATTTTGGAATCTTGACGTTTTTATGCCTTTATATATAGAATTGCGCAGAGCCGGAACTTTTCTGCACATTTCCCTAAGAACCAATGTCTCCTATAAGTGTTTGTTATTATTGCACTTCCTGTGTTCCTCCTTTATCTTGGAATTACAAACTTCCTCTACAGCAGAGCTAAGAATGACTTCAGGTCTGTTTGGCACATCTGGCCCAGAATGCACTGCTCTTCAGCCGTGATTGGGCGATTGCCTCAGCGGGTGATGGAGGTGACAGTGTTACCTTTAACTTACAGGGTCCTGCGCTCCCGGCCTCACACCTCTGACACGCCGAGTGGAACAGGCTCAACACGCGGCCCTCGCTCAGCCGGACGCCATCGTTGCTCACCTGCGGCAGTCAGAGAAGGCAGAGGTCAGAGAAGAAGAAGACCCCCGAATTATACCCCTCCCACACACATACAGTCACACACACACACATACAGTCACACACACACTTAGACACACGCACACACACACACACACACACACACTTAGACACACACACACACAGCACACACACACACACACTTAGACACACACACACACAGCATATTCACAGAGATAGACACACACACACAGCACATACACAGAGATAGAGACACACACCTTGACCTCCCAGCGGGCGTAGGGCCTGTCAGGGTGGGGGTCCTCTGGGGGCCCGCTCAGTGCTGGTACAGGACAGTCCAGGACTTTAGAGCTCAGGAACGTAGCCTTCGTCCTCTGCCTCTCCCTAGGAGCCCAGGCCCCGTGTGTGTACTGCAGGGGCCAGAGCAGCAAAGTCAAGTTAGGATCACGGCGGACTCTGTGGAGTGGAGACCTGAATGTGATGTCACACATAGCGTTCACTGTCTTCAGGCCTCTTCCAGGAGCCCACATGGGTGTTGGTACCCACCGTGAGTCTGCTGATGTGGCAACTCAGGTCCTCTGAGTTCACAAAGCCGAGACCGAAGACCCGCACAGTGCTGCAGGGCGAGGAGAGCAGGTCACACAGACCACTGTTCTCCAGGTCCAGGATCTCCACAGACGGACCTGCACATGGTACACACATGTGACCGGGGCATGCTCTCCTAGCGCCCTGTTTCCACCAGCCCTACTCTACTAGGGCTACTACTACAGCCCTACTAGTAGGGCCCTACTAGTAGGGCTGGAGGAATTACAACAGATCTGAAGAGGATCTTACTGATGCTGAGGCTGCAGTCATAGGAGCCGTGTCCAGAGAAACACTGACAACCGTCGTCTGTGCAGCGACCGTTCCCACTGCAGAGGTTGGGACAGCGCAGAGCAGTGAGTACCGCCTGAACCTCCTTCTCCTTCAGGACCCTGCTCTCCCCCAGGACCCTGCTCTCCCCGAGGGCCCTGCTCTCCAGCAGTCGGTGCTCACACTCGTTCTCCAGGAAGGGCAGCAGTGCGTGGCCCCAGGACAGGTCATCTTTGAGCTGCAGGTCCAGCACACACAGCTGCAGGGCCGTGTCCAGCCGCTCGCCCAGCAGCTCCCCACACACACTGCCCACTGATGAGTTGAGCAGCGTCTGCTGGCAGAGCTCCAGGGCTTTGGCCGAGCTAAGACCATTGGGGGTGGGCCAGCGGGGGTCCACAGCGGGCCGAGCGGAGGATAAGTGGTCCTCAGGAAAGAAGTAAGCAAAGGCGTGGTGCTGGGCAGGGACAGTCAGCTCTGGTATGGGCTGTCTCCTGAGGCGCTCTGCAGCGCCCCCCTGTGGGGTAGGCTCCTTGAGGTACTGCAGGGTGGTGTCCACAGAGGGAAACACAGACTTGAGGTCCACGTGGTCAGGACCTGAACACCAGCCTGAGCTGAGAGAGCAGTGACAGAAACTCCTCTGGTCCTCCTTCTGTAGGACAGCTGGAGTCCTGTCGAAGAGACTGTCCCCCGGGGACAACCTAACACACACACACACACATAAACACATGGATGTACACTAAAGCCTTGTATTAGTGCTGCTCCTCACCTCCACCTCTCCACAAAGGTCTCTGAGCTGCAGGACGTCCCGTCACGATCCTGAAGGTCGTTGTTAGTGTTGAGGTCGAAGGTTCCACACAAGCCCTGTGTGTGTGTGTAGTCCACACCAGGAGCACGCACACTCAGGCTCATGCCCCACACACTCACATCGGCCCGGACCAAGGCCCCGGAGGGGAAAAGCAGCTGCAGAGGACACACAGTCACAGGGGACACAGGGGACATGTCCTGTGTGCGGGACAGCTCATACTCACACTGATCTTCTTCCCGTGGTGGGACTCCAGCACACGCACTCCCCGGCCCGAGCGTGGGCCTGGGGTGCTGATGGTGAGCTGAGGACGTGTCCCCTGTCTCTGTCCATCACACATGTCTAGAGTGAGCAGCTCTGAGCCCTCTCGCACCGCGACCCCACACACACAGGACGCAGAGCGGAGCCGGCTGCCGCAGTCCCACAGGCGTGAGTGCACCTCGAAGGCCCTGACCACACTGCGGTACAGGACGAAGGTCCCAGTCTGCGGCTGCTCATAAAGCCTGAGGAGAGTGGACACACACGTAGGAGAGCGGAGGACACACACACAAGGGTTTTGTGGTCCCTGGCATGGTTTTAAAATCCCTAGGCAATAAAGCTCCTATAAGATCATGAGCAGGCAAACACCCCCTCCTGCTCCGACCCCCACTCATGACGCATCCACCTGGACCTGCAAACAGTGAGTAAAGTCGGGTCTCTTGAGGACTGGAGAGGAACAGGGGCAGGTTTTGAGGGTCTGAAATGCTTCTTCACAGGCATCAGGCCAAGCCACTGGGTTCTGGTTCTTCTGTTCATTCTCAGTCAGGGGGGTCCGGGGCGCGGCAATGGAGGCAAACTGAGGGACAAAGCACCAGTACCAGGGAGAACTCTTCTTTCTTGGCCTTGCGCTTTTCCACCCCTTACCCGTTCAATCACATGCTGCACCAGAAGAGGTGAGACTGGGCCTTCCCGCTCTTTCCATTCTTTGAGTAGATTCACATGATATGTCTGCATCAGTTTCTTTTTCCTTTTTCTGAAACCTCCTGCTTAAAACCCACAGAGGGACCGTGAGGGTCTGCTTTGATGGTCTGTATTCATACTGAAAATCAAGATCAAAAGCTTCTGCCCTTCTGCTCCACAGGAGGTTTCTGTCCTCCCTCAGCTCGCTCTAAGACACCAGCTTTACTGGTATACTGCCCCAGCCCCGTACTGCTGTACTACAGTGTAATACTGTAGTAATGTAATGGCCAGGAAGAGCAAGGACTTCTATTGGAAGAGAATAGACATGAGAGCAACAAACAGTAAGTGTGTGGACGACCGGGGGAAGAGAACTTGGGAAAAAGCTGGAAAAGTCCCCTTTAAGGACCGATAACAAAACAATAATAATAAACAACACTCACAACATGACTCTTCTGGCCACCCTGGGAAAGCCATGTTCCAGCTTCTTCCCTCTGGCAGAAGATATCGCTCTCTGAGATGCAGGACATCTCGTTACGCTAACAGTTTTTATCCACAAGCTGTTATCAGTGTGAACAGAGCACTTTAATGATTTGCATTTGTTTTGAAACTGTTTTAGTCAATCGATTTCACAGTGACATTTGTTTACTGTTTTATTTGTTTTATTTTTGTCTTTTAATGTTGTTTTATGTCTGTATTTGTCTGTGCACACTGGAAACTTTTGCTAATGTATTCCAATGTGGTTTTTTTACTGCAAATGGCAAATAAACTGAATCTGAATCTGAATCTGCCCCTGGTTGTTATCGTCTCCAGCTCATCAGGCTTACCTGCCGTCCAAAGTGATGATGTGAGGGTCAGTCAGGGCGTAGCACACAGCCGTGGGGGTGTCCTGCACATTGACCTGCGGCAGAAGACACATGGTCAGGACACATGGTCAGGACCAGGCTTTTACAATCATCACAGCCTTTACCAAACACACACACACGCCCACACATTATTAGTATTCATGAAGTTTTAAGGATTAGCCCAAGAAGCTGGACCGGTCTATCTGAATCAGGTCCAAACCCAGGCCCTTAGTGTCATGTGATGTGGCCCTCAGTGTCATGTGATGGGGCCTTCAGTGTTATGTGATGGGGCCCTCAGTGTTATGTGATGGGGCCCTCAGTGTCATGTGATGTGGCCCTCAGCTCAGTCTGGGACTCAGAGCAGGGAGACTAAGTGCAGTCCTTGTTCCCTGGTCCAGCTGGCACCGTGCACATCAACAGTATCTGTCAGGAGCAGGAGGCCATTATCAAAGTGCTGTTTAGGCCAAAACAGAGTCTGCCTGAACGGTATGTGGACAGTGCTTGTCTCTGGATCCACACCTGTGCCCCCCCCCTCAGTATATAAATGATTATGGATATAGGTTCAGAATATAAATGATTATGGATATAGGTTCAGTATATAAATGATTATGGATATGGGTTCAGTATATAAATGATTATGGATATAGGTTCAGTATATACATAAGTACCTCAGCGCGGATGTTCAGAATTCTTTGTTAAGTTTTCATGTAGTTCCAGAGCCTAATGGAGGCTTGATTCAGAGGCTCTGCGAAAACAAATAACTGAGCATGCGCAGCTACAAGCATCAGCGCGATGATTGACAGCCCTTGGCATGACTTGATTGGTTAACGTGGACGGCATCGTGGATTTCTAGCTATAGCTAAGAGAAGGGCCAGGACTGAGGCTGTAGATCCAGGACTGAGGCTGTGTAGACTGATCCAGGACTGAGGCTGTAGATCCCAGGTGGACTGAGGCTGTAGATCCAGGACTGAGGCTGAGGTAGATCCAGGACTGAGGCTCAGGTAGCTGTAGATCCAGATGACTGACCAGGACGGCTGTAGAGATCCAGCCTGAACGTATAAAGTGCTTGGCTATACAAAACTGGCCATAACCATATTTCACTACTGTTCCATACTTTGAGAGGTGTGGGGGTGTAGTGGGTCCACAGCCGGGGTGCGCCTGGCCCGAAGTGCGCAGTGACGAGGCTGGCCTGGTGGTGGTCGCGTCTGAAGTCCGTGACCGCGGTGACGGTGAAGACGCCCAGCCAGCACAGCGAGCTACCGTTGCACCGGCTGGCCCTGAGCTCCAGCCGGCACGAGGACAGAGCGATGTCCGGGAGATCTCCAGAGTCTGGGGTAAAACAGACGTCTACACATTGTTTCTCAGTTTGTTGTTTCTATCACTAGTTTTCACATGCAGCTTTTTAGACAGAAAAGTGAAAAATAGAGGGACCAGAGGGAGACCAAAGAGAGAGACCATAGAATGAACCACGAGAGACCAGAGAGAGACCAGAGAGAGAGACCAGAGAGAGACCAGAGTGAGACCAGAGATTGATCAAAGAGAGAGACCATGAGTCCAAGAGAGATCGCAGAGAGACCGAAAGATAGAGAGACCAGACCAGAAGAGAGAGATTGATGAGAGATCATGAGAGAGACGACAAAGAGATTGACCAGAGAGATTGATCAAACCGCAAGAGATGACCAGATGAAGAGAGACCAGAGTGAGACCAGAGATTGATCAAAGAGAGAGACCAGATAGAGAACCACGAGAGGCCAGAGAGATAGAGACCAGAGAAAGTCCAGAGAGAGACCAGAGGCTAGATTCTTCAGACAGAAACATGAAAATAAATGACCACCCTCACGCAGCCAATCAGCTCTATCCACTCTCAGTCTAAAGTGCTAGTCCTTAACACAGAGGGAGTGACAAAGTGCATGGTGCTAGTCCTTTAACACAGAGGGAGTGACTGACCAGGCTGCTGGACGCTCAGACTGAGGCCGAGGCTGCAGGGAGAGCTGGGGTCCGGACAGGGCAGGGGCACGGAGCTGGACACTCGGACCTGATGCTCCTGAGCGTCCTCCGAGATGAGCAGAGATCCTGGAGACAGCTGGAGACAGGTGGGTTCAGAGAGAGAGAGCAGAGAGAGAGCAGAGAGGGCCAGGGAGGACCAGAAGGAGAGGGAGGTTACCTGGATCCCGGCGAAGAAGGCCTCGCTCTCCCTCCCGGCGGATCGGCTCAGGTTGGAGTGGGCGTCGTACACGGAGACACTGCAGGAGAACTGTCCAATCAGAGGAGCAGAAGAGACGTGAGTGAGACGTGAGAGAGCAGAGAGAGAGCGAGGAGAGAGCAGAGAGAGACCGGTGAGAGAGTGGAGAAAGAAGAGAGACCAGGGAGAGAATGGAGAGAAGGGAGAGAGTAGAGAGAGTGATCGGAGAGAGATCAGAGGGACTAGAGAGAGAGTAGAGAGAGAGACCAGAGAAACACCAGAAAGACCAGAGAGACACCAAAGAGAGAGACCAGAGAGACACCAGAAAGACCAGAGAGACACCTCAAAGACTAGAGCAGAGAGAGAGAGAGACCAGAGACAAAATAGATCACGGAAAATAGTGGGTCTGACACAAACGGTTACTGAGTTAGAGGAGTTTACAAGTAAGTCAATAGGAGCCAGCGAAAAACTTCATCATGAGCACTTCCCTGTCTGGCTTCATTGAGTTAGCGGGTTAGCATTGTTCATCTGTATACAGTCTGGCTTCTGCACGGCTCACTGGCGGCTCCAGAACATTTCCTTATATGGTCATCACACGCTGGAGCCCAAAGCTGGACCATGGACGACCAAAAGAAAAACTAACGGCTGAGACCAGAGGCATTTCTGCAAAACTTAAGTCTATTTTGATTTAAAAATATGGAAGTTTTTGTCACAATTTGGGCCCATGTGTTGCCAACGAGAGGAAAGAAGAGACGAGTTTTTGTCAGCTGATGATCCTCTCGGAGACTTTATAAATATAGATAATTAATACATTTGAAAGTTTATCCTGGATCTACAGCCTCAGTCCTGGACCTACAGCCTCAGTCCTGGATCTACAGCCTCAGTCCTGGATCTACAGCCTCAGTCCTGGACCTACAGCCTCAGTCCTGGATCTACAGCCTCAGTCCTGGATCTACAGCCTCAGTCCTGGATCTACAGCCTCAGTCTTGGATCTACAGCCTCAGTCCTGGATCTACAGCCTCAGTCCTGGATCTACAGCCTCAGTCTTGGATCTACAGCCTCAGTCCTGGATCTACAGCCTCAGTCCTGGATCTACAGCCTCAGTCCTGGATCTACAGCCTCAGTCCTGGATCTACAGCCTCAGTGATGGATCTACAGCCTCAGTCCTCAGTCTTGGATCAGTCCTGGATCTACAGCCTCAGTCCTGGGTCTACAGCTTCAATCCTGGATCTACAGCTTCAGTCCTGGATCTACAGTCTCAGTCCTGGATCTACAGCCTCAGTCTTGGATCTACAGTCTCAGTCCAGGGTCTACAGCCTCAGTCCTGGGTCTACAGCCTCAGTCCTGGATCTACAGTCTTGGTTTGATTTTGAATCTGCAACGTTGTAAAGTCGTACTTGGCTTGTCAAGTCCTTTAAGTCCAAATGTTGTGTGTCATGCCCCAGGCTCTATGGACGGATGAGTTCTCAGATAGCCTCTTGTGACCCCCCCGCCCCATAACCCCCCACATGCACCAGCCCTAATGGCGCTCTTAAGGACGCTAACGTCTTGTACAGCTGTTTGTGACTTCAGAGAACCACACTGCAAAAATATATTGAACATCAAAGGCAATGAGCAAATAAAATAATAATCAAAAAAGAATCAAAAATCCAAACAAGTGCTGTCATGAAATGATGTAGTTGTTAGCATATTTATATATTTGTATGTTTGTATGTGTATGTGTGGCAGTGATATAAAATACTGCCACCTGCTGTTTCCGCTGGTCTCAGTATTTAACAGTATTTATGTGCACATACAGTATACAGTACATTTTATTTATTTATTTTGCTTTGTGTTTTGTGCGTGTCTTGCATAGGGCATTAAAAACATACAAGGCTTCTGGTTGGGGTCTCCTCCCCCAATAGCAGGGCTTCCTCCTTGTTTGGCCTATAGTCTCTTGTGTGTGTGTTGTGTGTGTGTCAGAATCCAGGCTTTCTCTCTCTTTGTTTGGGTGAGTTGCTAACGACTGCCCTCCTCCTGAACCCAGCACCTACAGGAGCGCACGGAGGGCACCGATAATGGATTGAGCATGGCCACATTCTGCAGCTGATCTGTAAGTCATTCTCCTCCTTCTGCCTTTGTTCTGCCCGTCTTCACAAATATCTGGGACACATTACCGTCTCGCCAAGCCTGAAGTGAACCCCATCCATCTCCAGCAGAGAGAAGGGCCGTGCCGTGGACTCCTGCCTGACCTGCGCCTTCATGCCGTGGCCGATGTGACGGGCCCACTGCACCTGGAAGCCCAGGGCAGAGCTCCAGGGCGGGGGGGAAAAGGAGCAGCGGAGGTACAGGCTCGGACCCATCAGCTCAGGGGTGACGAAGGGCCGGGTCAGCACCGGAGGGACTGGAGCTGCACAGAGAGAACAAGAAAACTAGTCACGTTATTGTATGTTCATAAGGCAATCCGCGTGTCGTACAAACACGTCTCCTAAATCTAAATGCTTTCCATCAGTCCAACACATTCATTCATTACATTCATGTAGTTTTGCAGCGCCCAAAACATCAGAACTGTAGCACAAACTACAAGGAAGAAGAGAAACTGGACTTGAGACAAAGTCTCCTTTTCCGGGTAAAACGGGCCAATTTACAACTACAGCGTAAATATAATAAAACACAAAAGAATGAACCTCAACCTTATAAAATGAAGAGTAAGATCAGAGACAGAGTTCTGAAGAACACGGTGGTCACTGGACCAGCAAATGTGACTATAGTCTTTATGTGGTGGATTCTACAGGGTCCTGGAAACTGAGCGCTGTCGGGACCAGAGTCCTGCCTCGTGAGGGCGGAGAGGCCCCAGAGCATCGTCCTGAAGGAGGAGGGTCTTTGTGACCCTGAAGGTCAGAGGAAGATTTCAAATGGAATTCTATTATCCACAGTGTGTGCTCTGACACGGCCGTGTGTGTGTGCGTGACACGGCCTCAGTATTTCTGTGTGTGTGTGTGACACGGTCTCAGTAGTTTTGTGTAATCTTGTGGGTAAGTTTTAAAGTTGTTATGAAAATGTAGTTTAAACACTTTTGGTCCCAGAACAGTTTGAGCCTGAAACTGCAGTGTTCCAAACCTGATAACCCTGATGCCCTAATGCCCCTGATGCCCCTGATGCCCTAATGCCCCTGATACCCCTGATGCCCCTGATACCACTGATGCCCCTGATGCCCCTGATGCCCCTGATGCCCCTGATACCCCTAATGCCCCTGATGGCCCTAATACCCCTGATACCACTGATGCCCCTGATACCCCTGATACCCCTAATGCCCCTGATGGCCCTAATACCCCTGATACCACTGATGCCCCTGATACCCCTGATACCCCTGATGCCCCTGAGCTGGCCTGACCGTGACTGCTTCATTAATGGCTGTATTGGGAGGAGAGAGTCTCACCGGAGCATCTGCCCCTGGTCCACACCTGTCCGGGGGGGCAGCGTCTGGGGGCCACATCTGGAGCAGCTGCAACATGGAGCTTTGTCAAAGGAAATCTCACATTTACAGAAATCGATGTGACAACAACATCATGATGCTAACGTTCAGACCATGTTACTAATTTAGAACAAAAGAAACAAAGTCCTTGGTTCAGAGGAGAATGTTTCCTGTGAACGTTCTGAAAGTAAGGACTGAGAACTGGAGGTGATGAGGACAGCCTGTTATGTAACGGATACTGTATTTGCTGCGCGTCAGGATCCGCTTCGCCCTGTCGGTACTTATTTTCCGATACTGACCTGCGTACGATACATTATCCCGCTTATTTTACGGCTTTGTACCAACAGAACACACTAAATAAACTTCAGTCCTCTCTTAGGAATGCCAAAAAGTTTATTTAATGACAGAAAATAAAATAGTTCCCAAAGGGTTTCCCGTGGCTATGCGAGTAACAGTTAGGCTAGCAACTTACAAACTAACTAGAACTCTCTCGAACTGCGGTGAGTGACCCAAACATAAACCTAACCTAAATCCATAATTTGATCCTCTGCAAATGTTCCTAAAATGTCCCGGAATCTACTTCCGGGTTTTTCACGATTGCTTTTTCTTGCATTAAAACAGTATTTTTGTCATGAAAACCGTAACAGATACTTCTGAAAACCTCTGTGCATGTGTATTAAGAATGTACATGTATAATGTATTCTCCCATTAACATTTAAGTGTGTTGATTGATATGTATTTGCGTTTATTGAGCGTGGCTTGCTCCGGAGTGGCCGGAACTACTTGCGGAGTAATCTACACATCTGAATTACAAGCAGAGGTTGCGTTGCCAAAGGGCAGCGGTCATTATTGTTTTGAGAGGTCCATTATCAAGAACGTGTGTGTGTGTGTGTATCTCTGTGTCTCACCCTGTCCGCAGTAGGCCATGCAGCCGTGTGTGTGTGTTGTGTGTCTCGCCCTGGGCACAGTAGGCCATGCAGCCGTGTGTGTGTGTGTGTGTTGTGTGTCTCGCCCTGGGCACAGTAGGCCATGCAGCCGTGGGTGTTGTGAGGGTGTATTGAGTGTGTGTGTGTGTGTTGTGTGTCTCACTCTGGGCGCAGTGGGCCATGCAGCCGTGTGTGTTGTGTGTGTCTTTGTGTCTCACTCTGGGCGCAGTAGGCCATACAGCCGTGTGTTTGTGTGTGTCTATCTCTCACCCTGGGAGCAGTAGGCCATGCAGCCGTGTGTGGGCTGCAGGTGGTAGAGCAGGAAGAGTCCGCAGTTCCTGACAGAGACGGGGATCCTGAAAAGGCAGCAGTCGGAGGCACTGGGGCTGAAGAAGCTCCACGTGGCACAGGCTGAGAGCTGCTGGAGCTCCCCGGGCCCCGGCAGAGAAGACCCCTGCAGGGACAGCCACAGAGGAGCCTGGGTCCCACAGTGGTTCATCTGAAGAACGCAAGCAGAAACATCTATCTGTCACTGAAGGAATGAACGAACGAATGAACGAAGGAAGTAGGAGGGGAGGTAGTGAGGTAAGGAGGAAGGAAGGGAGGAAGGAAGGAAGGAAGGGAGAGGAAGGGAGGAACACACATACTTTTATAACACACACACATACATACTCTCACACACATATACTACATACATACACACACACATCTCCAACCATCATCCTTCACCCTCTCCTCACAGACAGAGCAATTGTTCATGTTTTTAGTGGTAGGGGACACCGGAGCACCTGGAGGAAACCTACACAGACACGGGGAAAACATGCAAACTCCGCATAGAATGCCCCCCCGGACCCCCAGGGGAGCAGAGTGGCCCTCAGCGCTGCTTTGATGATAAGGCCCTTGATACAAACAGTGATTAGGACGCACACCTCTCATTACCTGCTGACGCTGTCATTACACAACTGCACATCTGGACGCACAAACATGACTTTCATCCTTTTGCTGGAAACAAGGACGACTTTTGTTGAGGGCAGCATAACACACACAGCAACGCACAACAACACACAAGCAACGCACAACAACACACAAGCAGCACACAACAACGCACAAGCAATGCGCAACAACGCACAAGCAACACACAACAACGCACAAGTAACACACAACAACGCACAAGCAACACACAACAATGCACAAGTAACACACGACATTGTTACATCTGCGGCTAAATTTGAGTTTTAACCCTTTACAATATGCTCTTCTCTCCCATGCCTCTCTCGTCTCTCCTCCATCTCCTCTCTCTCATGTCTCTCCTCCATCTCCTCTCTCTCATGTCTCTCCTCCATCTCCTCTCTCTCATGTCTCTCCTCCATCTCCTCTCTCTCATGTCTCTCCTCCATCTCCTCTCTCTCATGTCTCTCCTCAATCTCCTCTCTCTCATGTCTCTCCTCCATCTCCTCTCTCTCTTGTCTCTCCTCCATCTCCTCTCTCTCATGTCTCTCCTCCATCTCCTCTCTCTCATGTCTCTCCTCCATCTCCTCTCTCTCTTGTCTCTCCTCCATCTCCTCTCTCTCATGTCTCTCCTCCATCTCCTCTCTCTCATGTCTCTCCTCAATCTCCTCTCTCTCATGTCTCTCCTCCATCTCCTCTCTCTCATGTCTCTCCTCCATCTCCTCTCTCTCTTGTCTCTCCTCCATCTCCTCTCTCTCTTGTCTCTCCTCCTGCTCCTCTCTCTCATGTCTCTCCTCCATCTCCTCTCTCTCATGTCTCTCCTCCATCTCCTCTCTCTCTTGTCTCTCCTCCTGCTCCTCTCTCTCTTGTCTCTCCTCCATCTCCTCTCTCCCATGCCTCTCCTCCTGCTCCTCTCTCCATGCCTCCTCTTGAACATACAGTAATAACTCAAAGCAGATATACGACTATATAAGAAGCTGTTGTTTTGTCCTGAATCCAAGTGAAATTATTTCCAGCTGAGGTTCAAAAACTGCTAAAAAAAAAAATCCTTTTCTTTTCTTTTTAAAGATGATCATAAACATTTATTCTTATGGTGAGAAAAAACACAAAGTCATCAATACAAAGCTCTCCCCTGACATTTAAAGTTTTATCAAGTACATAGGAATATCTCTATGTCTCTAGTCTATGGTGTTGCCAGTAGTAGTAGAAGTAGTGGTAGCGGTTTTAATGGTGGTGGTAGTAGTAGTAGTAGTAATACAGTAGTAGTAGTAGTTGTATTAGTACTAGCGGTACAGGTATAGCAGTAGTAATAGCAGTAGCAGTAGCAGTAGCAGAAGTAGTAGTAGAAGTAGTAGTAGTAGTAGTAGTAGCAGTAGCAGAAGTAGTAGTAGAAGTAGTAGTAGTAGTAGTAGTAGTAGTAGTAGTAGCTGTAGTAGTAGCAGTAGCAGTAGCAGTAGCAGAAGTATTAGTAGTAGTAGTATTAGTAGTACCTGTAGTAGTAGCAGTAGCAGAAGCAATAGCAGTAGCAGTAGCAGAAGTAGTAGTAGTAGTAGTAGTAGTAGTAGTAGTAGAGGTACAGGTAGTAGCAGTAGTAGTAGGAGTAAAAGTAGTAGTAGTGGTACAGGTAGTAGCAGTAGTGGTACAGGTAGTAGCAGCAGTCTCCGACTGGAGACACGCTTTTGTCTCCAGTCGGTTAGACTATTGCAATGGCTTGTTCACAGGTCTCTCCAAACAGGCTGTAAAACAGCTGCAGTACATTCAACATGCAGCAGCTCGAGTCCTGACCAGAACTAGGAAGTACGACCACATTAGTCCAGTTCTCAGGTCTCTGCACTGGCTTCCTGTTCCTCAGAGAATAGACTTCAAAGCAGCTTTACTTGTGTACAAGTCTCTCCATGGTCTCGTGCCAAGGTACATCCACGACATGTTTGTGCCATATGAACCGACCCGGACTCTGAGGAGCACAGGGACTGGACTCCTGTTAGTGCCCAGAGTCGGTACTAGACATGGGCAAACTGCATTTCAGATTCATGCGGCTAGAGTCTGGAACCGTCTTCCTGAGAATGTGAGACAGGCGTCTACTCTGGCATCTTTTAAATCTAGGCTCAAAATAATTCTGTTTAGCTGCGCATATACAACTGAATGATTTTATCTTTTCATCTTTGTTTTTATCTTTAATCTTTTTAATGCACTGTGACTATTTATGATTTTAGTCTCATCTGTGATTTTAATGTTTAAAGGTTTTTAATTTTTGTGATTTTATTTTTAATGTTTTTAATATATCTTGTGCTCTTAATGTGTTTGATTTATGCATGATGTGATAGGGGATGTGAAGCGCTTTGCGTTGCCTTGTGTAGGAAAGGCGCTCTACAAATAAACGTTGATTGATTGATAGGAGTAGCAGTAGTAGTAGTGGTACATGTAGTAGCAGTAGTAGTAGGAGTAGCAGTAGAAGTAGAGGTACAGGTAGTAGCAGTAGTAGTAGGAGTAAAAGTAGTAGTAGTGGTACAGGTAGTAGCAGTAGTAGTAGGAGTAGCAGTAGTAGTAGTGGTACAGGTAGTAGCAGTAGTAGTAGGAGTAACAGTGGAAGTAGCAGTAGCAGTAGCAGTAGTAGTAGTAGTAGTAGTTAGCGCTGGTTAGCAAGAAGGTCCTGGCCTTTCTGTGTGTAGTTTGCATACACACAAACTACACACAGTGTCTGCTCCGGTTTCCTCCAGGTGCTACGGTTTCTTCCAGGTGCTCCGGTTTCCCCCTACCACTAATTCAATCTGAAGAGACCAAAGGCACAATTAATACATTAAAATGATTTATTTGTTTGGCGCATTGACCCCGGCAGTGACACTTGCAGCAAGTGAGTGAAGGATGGTGATGTTCGGAGGCTGTTCGGCGTCTCGCTTCTGATCTTAGCGCTTTGTGTGACTCTGGTCAGTGAAATGCGCTATATAATTAAAGACAACTTATTTATTCACTCGTCCCTTTAGTGTGTGTGTGAGTGGGAGTCACACCTCCACGCAGCTGGTGGGCATCTCGGCGGGCTGGTTGTGTAGCATGAAGCGGTACCAGCCGGGGGCCAGGCCGTGGTCACAGATCAAGTCCTGGATGGCGGTCTGCTGGAGCTCGCTGGAGTCGAAGCGGGTGCTACGGTGCGGGTGCTGCAGGACGCGGTGGTTACCGGGAAAACACTCTGCAGGTCAATTATGTACAATTTAATGTATGTTTGTATTGCTCTAAATCACAAAAGTAGAGAATCAAGCAGTTTAAATACAAGAAATGCAATGATAGAAAACACATAGAAAACACATAGAGCAATTGGTCCATAAGGGGCAGAGACCATGTGTATAGACTATTACCAGAGAGAGGCCAGAGAGACCGGAGAGAGACCAGAGAGACCAGAGAGAGACCAGAGAGAGACCAGAGAGAGACCAGAGAGACCGGAGAGAGACCAGAGAGAGGCCAGAGAGAGACCAGAAATAGACCAGAGAGAGACCAGAGGGAGACCAGAGAGAGAGACCAGAGAGAGACCAGAGAGAGACCAAAGAGAGAGACAAGAGAGAGACCAGAGAGAGACCAGAGGGAGACCAGAGAGAGACCAGAGAGAGACCAGAGAGAGACCAGAGAGAGAGACAAGAGAGAGACCAGAGAGACCAGAGAGAGGTCAGAGAGAGGTCAGAGAGAGACCAGAGAGAGACCAGAGAGAGACCAGAGAGACCGGAGAGAGACCAGAGAGACCGGAGAGAGACCAGAGAGAGGCCAGAGAGAGAGACCAGAAATAGACCAGAGAGAGACCAGAGGGAGACCAGAGAGAGAGACCAGAGAGAGACCAGAGAGAGACCAAAGAGAGAGACAAGAGAGAGACCAGAGAGAGACCAGAGAGAGACCAGAGGGAGACCAGAGAGGTCAACAGTCTCCTTCCTTTACTATGACTCTGAATCACAGACTTTGGATCCTGAGGAGCAGAACATTACTGTCCACATTCCACTGATGCTCTGGAACAGAACAGCTGGACTACTGCTGTTTTCCACAGTCTGAGAGCGGCCTGTCCTCAGACTGTCCTCAGCCTGTCCTCAGTCTGTGCTCAGCCTGTGCTCAGCCTGTCCTCAGCCTGTCCTCAGTCTGTCCTCAGCCTGTGCTCAGCCTGTCCTCAGCCTGTCCTCAGCCTGTCCTCAGTCTGTCCTCAGTCTGTCCTCAGCCTGTCCTCAGCCTGTCCTCAGCCTGTCCTCAGTCTGTCCTCAGCCTGTCCTCAGCCTGTCCTCAGCCTGTCCTCAGCCTGTCCTCAGTCTGTCCTCAGTCTGTCCTCAGTCTGTCCTCAGCCTGTCCTCAGCCTGTCCTCAGTCTGTCCTCAGTCTGTCCTCAGCCTGTCCTCAGTCTGTCCTCAGCCTGTCCTCAGCCTGTCCTCAGCCTGTCCTCTATCTGTCCTCAGCCTGTCCTCAGACTGACCTCAGTCTGTTCTCAGTCTGTCCTCAGCCTGTCCTCTATCTGTCCTCAGTCTGTCCTCAGCCTGTCCTCTATCTGTCCTCAGCCTGTCCTCAGCCTGTCCTCAGTCTGTCCTCAGCCTGTCCTCAGTCTGTCCTCAGCCTGTCCTCAGTCTGTCCTCAGCCTGTCTTCAGCCTGTCCTCAGCCTGTTCTCAGCCTGTCCTCAGTCTGTCCTCAGCCTGACCTCAGCCTGTGCTCAGCTTGTCCTCAGCCTGTCCTCAGCCTGTCCTCAGTCTGTCCTCAGTCTGTCCTCAATCTGTCCTCAGTCTGTCCTTTGATTGATCCTATTTAATTATGCCCAGTGTAACATGTACAGTAACATTGTCAGATCAACATTGTTGTCTTTTCGTATCTTATCCATCACAGAAAATAACTCTGGTGTCTATGGGCAAAGTCACCGTGTTTACATTACAACAGTTGCACACACACACACACACACACACACACACACACACGCTCGCACACACACATACACACATATAGATATACCCTCTTTTCCCTCTCTGGCCCCTTCGGCTCATGAAGCTGTTTTACAAGTCTGCCCGTTTTCATTGCTTACACCAACTGTTTACATGTCTGGAGTGTGTGCGTGTGTGTGTGTGTGTGTGTTTGTCTGGGGGGTCTGCTGACAGGCCTGAGGTGAGGGATCAGCCAAACTTCTGAGAGGGCACCGTCCCGGAGCCACTGTCTCAGGGGCTGCTTCTCGGATCACTGCTGTAATTAGTTTACGAGAATGGGGGGAGGAGGGAGGGTGTGTGTTTGTATGTGTGTGTGAGTGTGTGTGTGTGTGAACTGAGTCACAGCATTGCAACCCAACACACAGCAGCACAACAATATCTACACTTTTCTTGTTTTGAAAAGTATTGATGGAAGCAATATACTCAACTGTTTTTAACCCTCCCCTGGACCTGTCCCCAGTCTCGAACCCTGGACTCCCCTGGACCTGTCCCCAGTCTCGAACCCTGGACCCCCCTGGTGTGCATGTGTGTGTTTGTGTGTATCTATGTGTTATTCGTTCGTGTTATTTATGATTTGTATGCATTGTGTGACTGTCTCTTCCTTGTTTTGTTCATTACTTTGAGTTTTCCTGTGCATGAATTGTGCTTTACAAATAAACTTGCCTTGCCTATGTGTATGTGTGCGTGTGTTTGTATATGTGTGTGTGTGTGTGTTTGGGAGGGGTAGGGTCTGTTGGGTCTGAGAGTGACCAGATGTGTGGCCCTAATGCTGGGTTAACTAAGTGGGACTTTCCCCAGAGCCTGGAGCTGCAGCGACAGGAGTCTGAGAGAAGGTTCCAGACACCTGTGAGCAAAACACACACAGCTAAATACTATTACTATACTAAAACTATACTAACAACTATACTACTACTATACTAACTACTGTACTAACTACTGTACTATTACTATACTACTACTATAGTATTACTATACTAACTACTATTACTACTACTATACTACTACTATACTACTACTATACTACTACTACTATACTACTACTACTATACTAACTACTACTATACTATCTACTACTATACTACTACTACTATACTACCTAACTACTATACTAACAATACTATACTATTACTATACTAACTACTATACTAACTACTATACTACTACTATACTAACTACTATACTACTACTATACTAACTACTATACTAACTACTATACTATTACAATACTAACTACTATACTACAACTACTACTAATACACTATTACTACTGCTACTATACTACTACTACTACTACTACTATACTACTACTATACTACTACTACACTACTACTATACTACTACTATACTACTACTACTACTACTACTACTACTACTACTACTACTACTATACTACTACTATACTACTACTATACTACTACTACTACTACTCTACTACTACTACTACTACTACTACTACTACTACTACTACTACTATACTACTACTACTACTACTACTACTACTACTACTAATACTACTACTACTACTATACTACTACTACTACTACTATACTACTACTACTACTACTACTACTACTACTACTATACTACTACTACTACTATACTACTACTACTACTACTACTATACTACTACTATACTACTACTATACTACTACTATACTACTACTACTCGTACTACTATACTACTACTACTACTACTACTATACTACTACTGCACATACTACTACTAGTACTACTACTAATGCTACTACTATCTACTACTATACTACTACTTACTACTTACTATACTACTACTATACTACTTACTATACTACTACTTACTACTACTAATACTTACTACTATACTCTATACTACTACTACTACTACTAATACTACTAACTACTTACTACTACTACTACTAATACTATATACTACTACTACTACTATACTACTACTACTACTACTTACTATACTACTACTATACTACTACTATACTACTACTACTATACTACTACTACTACTACTACTACTACTAATACTACTACTACTACTACTACTACTACTATCTACTACTACTACTACTACTACTACTACTACTACTATTACTACTACTACTACTAATACTTACTACTACTACTACTATACTACTTACTAACTACTACTACTACTACTACTACTATACTACTCTACTACTACTACTACTCTACTACTATACTACTACTATACTACTATACTACTACTACTACTTCTTTAAACTACTCTACTATTACTACTACTAACTACTATACTACTACTATACTAACAAAAAATACTATATTATTACTATACAAACTACTATGCTATTACAATACTAACTACTGTACTAACTACTATACTATTACTATACTAACTACTATACTTCGACCTTTATGAGCGGTGGCACCTTTTTCATCAGGAACAATCACAGGGCACATCACCAGCTGAAACGGACACACACCAATCTCTGCAGTGTTTTATATAGAAAAATAAAAGTGCAGACAAATCACATAATATTTCTTATTATTTCTGTGTCGGCCAATTTGACGGTTTTGTAAAGTCCTACGTTTTTGTGTGTCATGTTTGGGATTGTTCTTGTTGAATGTCAATGTGTTTGTCTGTTTTGTTGCCATTATATATATTTTTAAAGTCCTACATGAACTACTGCTGTGATTTAGAGCTATATAAAAATACATTGATTTGAAAAGAATTTCCAAAGGCACATCAAACAACATCTTAAAGGAGCTATACTCGTTTCTGCAAGGTTTGAATGTTTAGCCCCGCCCCCAACTCGCTCAATGGCTTCTCATTTCCTCTACGCTCTCTTCCCACGGAGGCATCTAGTTTTATTTACGATCTGATACGTATGCTAACATTAGCATTAGCAAAACTTTGTGTAAGCTGTACAACAATCACTGATGAAATGGTACAAAAGCAACGCACTGCTAACAGAATATATAACTGAAAGATTACCGCTAGTTTCATGTCCGAATGTAGTCCGAGCATAGATAGTCCGAGCATAGATAGTCCGAACATAGATAGTCCGAGCATAGACAGTCCGAGCATAGACAGTCCGAGCGTAGACAGTCCGAGCGTAGAAAGTCCGAGGCACTCCCGCAGGTCTCGCCCATAGACTCTCTCTCCAGAGGATACGATGTAAGCTAGCTATGTTCACCTGGGCTTGATTTCTTTTTTGATCATTTTTTGGCTTTAGTTCCCTCTTCTCTTCCTCACTGTTGTGTTGTTTGGGCTGTTTTTCTGTGTCTGTAGTTACAGCCAGAGGAGTTGTAGCCACTTTCTGCCTCCATTCTGCTCTTGTTTACCTGTGCTGCAGACGCTAGAGGAGGCGTGGCTTGTTCGCTCCTCGTTCTGTGATTGGAGGAGGGCGGGCGTCACGCTAAGTCTCTACTCAGCACTTTTTACGGCCTGAGTCCATACACAGCTGAATCAATGAGCTCAAGTTTTCAATTTAATTACGGATTTTAATACAACTTGTTTGTAGTAATACGCATTTTAATGAAAAAATTCGGGTATAGCTTCTATAAGGCATACTGAGGTGACACAGCCCACTGGATGAAAAATACTCAATACTTATACTATACAATATGATACTACACAATACTAAACTACACTATACTATACTATGCTATACTATACTATACTATACTACCAACAGCATCTTTGACTGGCTGGGACTCTGAGGAGCACAGGGACTGGACTCCTGCTGGGACTCTGAGGAGCACAGGGACTGGACTCCTGCTGGACTCTGAGGAGCACAGGGACTGGCCTCCTGCTGGGACTCTGAGGAGCACAGGGACTGGCCTCCTGCTGGGACTCTGAGGAGCACAGGGACTGGACTCCTGCCGGGACTCTGAGGAGCACAGGGACTGGCCTCCTGCTGGGACTCTGAGGAGCACAGGGACTGGCCTCCTGCTGGGACTCTGAGGAGCACAGGGACTGGACTCCTGCTGGGACTCTGAGGAGCACAGGGACTGGCCTCCTGCTGGTCCCAGAGTCACGACTAAACATGAGAAAACTGCCCTGTTTAGCTGTGCATACAACTGAGAAATTTCATATTTTCATCTTTCTTTTCAATGTACAGTGATTATTTATGATTTTTCTTACAGTGTGACTGTATCTTTGCCTTGTGTATGAATTGTGGTATACAAATAAACTTGCCTTGCCTATAGTGACTCACATGGCTCTCTATCACAATAATACAGTTTTCTATAAGCAAAAAAACAGCACAAGTCTCGGGGGGCAAATAGAAATGATCGGGTTAAATGCACGTTTTGATGGGTCTTGTTAAAGTACAAAGACTGAATAGTGATGGCTCTCGCCTCCATCTGGGAGAATGACATAATCACAGGCTAAATCTGAAGAGTTTTTAAAGCTAGGGTACCGAACTTTCATTGGCTGGTGTAATAAAACCCATGTCTCGAGTTCCAGGCTCTCAAAGAGTTAGCTTCTATCATTAGTTTTCCACTTGGTTTCTTTCTGGCCTGTCTCGCCTCTCACTGGTCTCTCTCTGGTCTCTCTCAGGTCTCTCTCTGGTCTCTCTCTGGTCTCTCTCTCTCTCTCTCTCTGGTCTGTCTCTGGTCTCTCTCTGGTCTGTCTCTGGTCTCTCTCTAGTCTCTCTCTGGCATCTATTCTCTAAAAGCAGGGCTACGTAACTTTCAAAACACATGTCACTAGTTATTTGGCCTCTGTCACATCTGTAGTCCAGCTTTTTCACACAGAAAAGTCAAAAAAGACAGAACCCTCACTCAGAAATGTTACTTTCAGACTTTCACAAACAAGATGAAATATGAAAACAACAAATTAGGTATCCCAGGTACTGTT